ACAAAGAAACCATACAGCTCTGTCTTACTCTTCTGCCTTCAAGGCTTTTGATACCAGTATTCAGAGCATACCCTGAAGGTATATCTGAAAAGACCCAGAAGCAGAGCACTGTTGCTCTTCACTTTGGTTAAGATAAACAGGACTGTGAGGGTTTTTCTTGATGTATTCAGGAGTTGGAAGAGACTGGGATATTTGCCCTTCATCTTTTAAGCTGGTAAAACATCTCTTAAGTATTAAATGTTAGTAGTGATGATGCTCCTTAGTCAAGGTAGATTTTATATTTGATGCCAATATTCATGACATTGTGCATTCTCATCAATATTCTCCAATGTTACCACTGGTTCAGGCTCCTGAGGTTAAGCAGTGTTAGGAAAATCACCTCCTTAAAGCAGTATGGGAGTCTTGTGGCTGCAGGATTAGTTTAGTTGTATGAGTGCCACTCACTGTTGCCATGCCTCTCACAACACAGGGAGTGGGGGTTTTTTTCCTGATCTTCACAAGGTATGCATTGCTGTGGAATGGAAACCTGAGTTGCAAGTAGAGAAATTTTGCCGTGAGGAAACAAAGGGGATGCTGGTTTCAATGTCAGTCGCTTTGAGCCAGAATTGTTCCCCTTATTATCTTCCTACCATTGCCAACAAGTTCTGTTTTGGTCAGGTTATCATTGCATTTCTTGGGGTTTGGCTCTTGCTGTGCATATAAAGGGAAATGCAAATACTCATCAGTCTGCAACATTTTCCTCTGCCTCAGTCTGTTTGATTGTGCGCTTGCTTGGATTTAAATGAATGCTGTCACCTGTCTTTGAGTAGCCAGCCATTGGATGGGACATCTGGCTTTGCTTTTTCAAAGGCTGATGTTCTGCCCATGAATTATAATGAAAATTGTATTATTTCAAGACCTACCTGAGAACATAGCTTGTCTTTCTCCTTTCTGAGTTCAGGCTGTACTCAGTTACTAAGAGCAACTTTGTATGTATCAGCCAGTTATTGATACAAACAGCCTCAAAATGTTAATAGCAGTGAGAAAGAAACTGTTGCCATTTCTCTGTGCTTCAACTTTATGGTTAATTTTGCTAATTTGCATATGCTGTGGAGTTTTCCTGTATTAATGGCTGCTTTCCTCAGTTATTGTTACAGTGCCAGCATGCTATAAAAACATGGGATTTGTGAAGTTTGAACTTTAATATGTCTATATCACTGAATTGGGCCATGCTTTTATTCATGTGCAAGAGCATCTGTTGCTTTTCTTTGTCCTAATTGTTTTACATTTAAGGTTTGATATTTACTATGTTCTTTTTATTATTTGTTCAGTACTTTCACTGTAATTCTTCTTTCAGCTGTATTTCTATTCTCTGCTAATACCACAGCATACATACCATCAAACTTATTTTTGATCCTGAACAAACAAAATAGTCTGTGTCTCCTTTTGAAACAGTACATCTTGGTTCATCATATGCCTTCACAGAAGTAATCCAGGATTTTCTACAATCCTAAAATGCCTGAAGCTCTTTTTTTTTTTTTTTTTTCCCCCAGGAAGCTAATGCCTATAACATTTTATATTGCCATAAATTATTTTTGTCCCATGTAGCTTGAGCTACTTTCCCTCTCCTACCTGTTTGCTTTCAAGACCTATTTTGCTTTGGTGCTAATGCCTGTTAGGTCTTTTTATGAAAAAAGTTAACTCCCTAGCCCTGGGGAAGAGAAGTTAAATTTTGCCTGGGTTAATGAATTATCCTACTCAGCAAGAGCCTGATGAATGTCAGAGCTGGCAGGTGGACAGAGGCGAGGGAAAGTATTTGAGAGAATAAGAAAACCCATTTTAGTCTCCTGAGGCTGCCTCATGTAATTTCACCTCATTTTACAGCATTTACTTGACTTTGCTAGGAAAGGCTAGAGTGTGGTTAGTTTCTTTGAGCTTCCCTTCTTGCTTTCCAAATAGACTGTGAGAGATATTCAAGTTAAAAATTATTTATTCTGATAGTTATTTATTTAATTTGACTATATCATCTAAAGGTTTTGATTAAAGCTACAGATTAAACAGAGTACATTGTTTCATTGTTGTATTTTCCTTTCTCTTAACAATTTTTCTGTTCTTGAAGTCAGGGAAACATAATCTGCCGTGTGTCTATTTGACTTGATTGCTACCTCACATTAACATCCTTTCTGAGTAACTTTTACCATAGATGAGCATCAGTGCTCACCATTTCTGTGGCATTTTTTAAAATTACTTTAGAAGGCACCTTGTGAGGTGTGGCCAGGAATAATCCATGATTTCGTTAATTCAATTCAAGCATATTATCTCCAAAACTTAATAATAAATATACAGGTTAAACCACATTAATCTAGAGAGTTCTCCTCATCTCTCTACCCTATGGAACAAGTAAGTTCTCCATAAACTCATTTAAAATGTATTTTCTGATCATCTGGGTTTAGTACAGCATAAAGAACCATGGGGGATACCCAAAGAAGACTGTAATGTGACACTTCCAGGGAAAGTACTGCAAAATCTGATGTGAATTTGTTTAGAAGACTAACTCTGATGTGAAGGGAAATCATGGATAATTTTCTGCTTTTGAACTCCATGAAAATACTCTCCACTCTGCTGGTATATTAATTATGTGCTGACAGTAAGGAGTTGCACCATCTCTTGACCACAGTAGGTAAGTTTCACTTTCTTCATAATGTTTCAGTTGATATTTCTAAAGCATATAGTGTGAAGCTATTTAGTCACTCAGTAAAGTAATTACTGAAGTCTGTAAAAAGGGAAAAATGGCAAATGCATACATTTTGTTTATGTATTTTGAAATACATAAAAACTGGCCTGTTCTCTTCCTTGTTCTCTCTACTATGTTACTCTGCAGTGAACTTCTGCTAGCTGAGGGAGGCGTAACTTTTCACTTCCTGAAGTTATTAAAACCAGGCTGACACCAAACCTCTATGAACGAACTGGAGGAGGAAAAGTTCTTTAAAAATAGAATTTCTGGTAATTGCAGTGTTAGTACATGAAGCATGGAACTAACTCCAACAGATTTTCTGTGGCCTTAACTGAAGGATCTGTAGCTAACTGCTTGGTTTTTTTTGGGGGTGGGATGGAATGTGCAGGTCAAAATAAAAGCCATAAGGAGGAATTGCCATTGCTTTTCCCAGAAATATAAAAACTATGCTATAAACCTAATCTCTTATATCCAATAATATTCAATAAATCTAAAAGGTAAATCCATTTCTACTTAGGTGCTTATAAAATACAGAAGTTGCAATTCAGATAAACAGTAAGTTATGCTATTCTCATTATCATTTTAGAATTACTAATTACATAAATTCAACAACCTGTGAGGATTCTGGATTACCTGTCAAACCTGGAGCTGGGATCAAAAAGATCATGAAAAGTATTTCCTTGTTTTCAACACCTTTCCTGACATGTAGTCACACAAAGTGAGGCATGCTCTCAGTGTTGTCCTTGGGAACAGTGGATGAGTCAGAAAAGGAGAGCTAGAGAGGCTTAGTGCTGTTCTTCCTGCTATCACGGTTGTACCACTATGTGTGCAGCTTCAGCATCGTTTTAAACTGGAACAGATCGTTCCAAGGGTGCCCTCTGTGGGAGATGAGTGGGCTTAGGAACCCAGATGAGACACCACCACTAAAGACATGAAAGAAGGACTCTGGTGTCTATTTTTTCCCCAGAGCTATTAGTTGGCCTGAAGTAACACGTTACCTATGGCAAAGGAGGATTCTGAGCTAAAGGCACAGAGATCTTCACTGGATTGTCCTTTTGGGGGGCAGCTGCTTTATGCAAAACAGTAAAGCACACCCATAAGGCCTGTTACTTGAAGATGCAAGCTCTGGGCATGCTGAAGAGTTTACACGTTATCCCGATTATTTTTATAGGAATGTACTAGTGTTACCAAATACCTCTACTTGATTCCTGTAATCAGTCACTATCACAGAAATATATTGCCTGCCAAAAGACCACACACATTTAATGTAATAGAAGCAGAGGCATGGGACCAAAAGGGCTTCTTCATTACTTACTGTCAGGGTTGTTCCAGTCTTGGTGATCCTAAAATTCAAATCATATTGTTTGAATTAAGCTGTTATGAGACATTGAAGTATGAAACACATGAGAGATTCGCAAATGTGAAATACATGAACTAGAATACTTCTAGTTTTATAACCACAGACCTGTGAGAAAGCTATTAGGTCTTCTACTTATCTCTAACAAACCGAAGCGCTCTCGCTAAACTTCTGTTCCCCAGCGACTTGTAGTAGAACACAGGCGTTAATCTGCGAATTAAATACAGTGGACACCTCCATTTTTAATTTTTTGGCTTTTTTTTAATAAGACGTGTTCCCTGATTGTTACAGCTCTTCCCTGTATCTTCTCTGGGGCTATTTTTCTCAAATAGCGGATGTTGAAATAAATGCAGCAACAAATGTAGCAGCGCCCGATACCGAGGGAATGCAGCTGCTCGGGAGCTCCCCTGGGCAGGAGCTGCTGCCGCTCTCCGAGCCGCCACCTCCTCCTCAATCGCTGCCTCCCGGGAGAGCGCCCCAGGCTCGGAACAATCTCTCGCTGGGTATCGGTTCACCGGCGCTGCAGGGCTTTGCCCACCTCGCGCTGCTTTACAACACGGCGGTTCTTCCTTGGGGGAACTTCCCTGGCTCCACCGAGGGTCTGCGGCCACTCGCGGACTGGGCCGGCGGAATCCTCTTGGCGGCGGCCTCTCCTCCCGGCACCGCCCAGTCACAGCTCCCGCGGCATTCTGGGAGCTGTAGTCCAGGGGTTTCAAACCTGCGCGGCGGGACCGCCTCGGCGAACTGCGTTACCCAGGAAGCTCCGCGGCGGCCACGCCCTGCTGCGGTGTGCCCCTGAAGGCGATGACTCGAGCAGGGCAGGAGGCGGGGTGGGCCAATAGCGGGCCGAGGTAGGGTGGCCCTGTGGGCTCGGGGCCAATGGGAGCTCGCCGGGGGCCCGGGCGGGGCGGGGTGGCGGTTGCCGCTCGGCTCCGGGCGGAAGTGGGGCAGCCGCGCGGGGCGGGCGTGGGAGCGGGATCGGGCCGGGCTGCGCCTCCCGCCCGTGCGTGAGCTGCGCCTCGGGGCCCGCGGGCTGGGAGCCTGCTCCGGGATCGGGGAGTGGAATGGGAGGTGGGAGCGGGAGCGCCGGGAGGGAGAAGAGCAGCTCGGAGTAGGGGCTTTGTGAGAGCAGCGACTCGCGCGTGTGTTAAGGGCGTCGCTCCTGTCCCTGCAGGTCTGCCAGCAGCCTGGGCTCCAGGCATCCCGGGATGACCGCCTCGGTGCCTCCCGATGCGCTGGGTCGGAGGGTGTCGTGTGGCACCGACTACGGGACTGTGCGCTATGTGGGCGGCGTGTCTCGGACATCAGGTAAAGGTCACAAAAGCAACTAATCTTTACATCTAATGGCTGTTCTCAAAGTTCTATTTATGTGCTTCTTTAAGAACCATTGTCAAGTAGAATGAAAACGTTGTCAAGTAGAACGTTGTCTTTTCCTCATTATTGTTGTGTAAATATGACAACTTCTGGATAAGTTGTTGTGGTTTTTTTAGAAGTTAGAGTTGTCAAAAGGAGTGTAAAAAGTACTTTGGGCTGAGGTTGCTTATGTTTTTTTTCTTACAGCAGAAAGGTCTTACTGCTTCCTTTTTCCGTTGTTTTTCACAAACAGTGCTGGCATAGTCAGAGGAGGTGAGAGAGAGGCAGGAGCAGCAGATTTACAGACAGGGGTCCTCCTCTGATAAACATATTGTATTGGATTTGTAAGACAAGGCTTTGATCGAGGGGAGACTATAGGGGTGGTTTCTGTGAGAAGCTGCTGGAAGCTTCCTCCATATGCAACGGAGCCAGCTGGCTCCAAGATGGACCTGCTGCTGACCAAGGCTGAGCCCATCAGCAGTGGTAGTAACACCTCTGAGATAACATGTTTAAGAAGGAAAAGGAAAAAAAAGTCATTGTGCAGCAGTAATTATGTCCAGAGAAGAGAGGAGTGTGAATATGTGAGAGGAACAACTATGCAGACACCAAGAGCAATGAAGAAAGAGGGAGAAGGTGCTCCACACTCAGCCAGAGCTGAGATTCTTCTGCAGCCCATGGAGGTCAACAGTGGTGCAGAGATCCACCTGCAACCCATGGAGGAGATGCATGCTGGAGCAGGTAGATGCCTGAAAGAAAGTGGTGACCCCGTGGGAAGTTCATGCAGGAGCAGGTTCCTGGCAGGACATGTGGACCCGTGCACAGAAGAGCCAACACTGAAACAGGTTTCCTGGTAGGACTTGTGACCCTGTGGGGTACCCACACTGGAGCAGCCTGTTCCTGAAGGACTGCACCCCATGAATAAAGGGTCCCACACTGGAGCAGTTCATGAGGAACTGTACTGTAGCCCATGGGAAGGACTCATACTGGGGAAGTTCGTGGAGTACTGTCTGCCATGGGAGGGATCCCACATTGGAGCTTCCTCCTCCCTGAGGAGGAAGCAGTGGCAGAAATGACCTGTGATGAGCTCGCTGTAACCTCCATTCCCTGTCTCCCTGCGCTGCTGAGGGGAAGGAGGTAGAGCCCAGGAAGGAGGGAGGGTTGGGGCAGGCAGGTGTTAAGATTTGCTTTACTTCGCATTATCCTACTCTGATTGGTAATAAATTCAATTAATTATCCCAAGTTGAGTGTGCTTTGCCCATGATGGCAATCAGTGAGCAATCTCTCCCTGTCTCTTGTCTCAACTCATGAGCCTTTCGTTATATTTTTTTCTCCTCTGTCTAGCTGAGGAGGGGAATGACAGAGTGACTTTGGTGGGCACCTGGTATCCAGCCCAGGTCCAATTTATGGGGACAGAGAAGACCCAACTTAGCTTGTGGAAAGATCTGGCTAGTCTGACAGTGAGAGTCAGATGACTACATGTCATCTTTGAAAAATTGTGGTGACAGGAAGGGGAGATTGCTGATGCCTGGAAGAAGACCAGCCTTGCATACAGCTCTAAAAGAGGCAAGAAGGATGACCAGGGAACTGTAGACTCATCAGCTTGTGTTTCTGGAAAGATCATGTAGCATGTTCCCTTGAAGTCTATTTCCAAGCCTATGAAGGACAAGATGGTAGTTGGGAATATATAATACTTGTAAAGAAGAACAATTTGTGCTTGGCAAATGTAATTACCTTCTGTGATTATGTGACTGGGAATGTGTACAAAGGGAGAGCAAGGGATGTAATATTTCTTGATTTTAATAAGTCTCTTAATAGTGTCTCCATGAACAATCGTATTTGGAAGCTGGAGAAATACAAGTCAAATGAATGGACTGTTAAAGTGCATTGAAAGCTGTCAAGTGGAAAAGTGGTAATCAATGACTTGATATCAGGGAATGAGTGAGTACTACGGAAGTAAAGGCTGGGGTCTTTATTGATTCATGTATTCATTAGTGTCTCAGGTGATGAACAGTGTTCACCCTCAAACGGCTGCTGTGACACGAGTTAGAATTGCATTCCAGATCAAGTTTTATGAACTTTAGGTTTGAGCCCAAGGGATTCAAGAAAGATAAATTTCCACATGTAGTGTATCAGTACGGACCAGGAAGCACTAGAAACTCACACAGTCTGTCGTAAAGGACTAGGGAGTTAAGTTGGATACTGTCATGAATATGAGCCAGCAGTGAGCTCTCGTGACAAGCAGCATACGTGTTGTACTAGGTCACCTTAGAATGATGAACATGGCCTGCAAATTAAAGGAAGCTGTTATCCCTCTCTGGGGGCAGGGGTTCTTGATATGGTTGCACTTGGAGTAACGTAGCTGGTGTGGGACCATCCCAATTCAAGAGGGATGCAGTTAAACTTGCGAGGATCTCAAAGATCTCTCTGCAGGAGTCTTGGAGAACTGCCAAGGGGGTCAAGGGCACAGATCATACACCTGTATTGTGGAGAGAGGTTGAGGGATCTGAGCTTGGTTAATGTGGTGAAGAGAAGAAAAAGTAGCACCTAATAGCTTCCTGCAGCTATTTGACAGGCAGTCACAAAGATGACAGAGCCTAATTCTTCTTATTAGTATTAGATTATATAATAAAGGACAATGGCCACAGCAGGGAAATCTTTCTCTACAGTAGTGCAGCACTGAAATAGGCTGCCCAAATATGCTGGAATCTTTCTCCTTGCAAATTTTCAATATCTGGCTAGGTACAGACTTACCTGGCTGACTTGTTTTAGAGCTGATGATAATCTCCTGCTTTGAGAGAAGGGGTAAGCTAAGTGAACTTCAGAGCTTTCTTCCAACAATGATTTTTATGGATATGATACCATACATTTTAAATGTATCTACCACTTTCCTCAGGAATTTGGCTGGGTGTGGAATGGGATGATCCTCAGAGAGGAAAGCATGATGGCTGCTATGAAGGGACACAGTACTTCAGGTGCAGGTGAGTTGATTCACAGCTTTGGCATGTCATGCACATTGACTAGATGGTCATGAGAAAATGCCCTATTGCAACTTTTAGGGTAAACCCTTCTGTCATCAGTTGGCTGTTATTAAAAAATAGTAGTTCTGAGTGTAGTGACTAGCTAAGCCTTAGAGGCTGTTGCATTAATCTGGTTACAAGTATTAGAATATTGTAAATACTTAAAAAACACAAGTTATGTTTTCAGATATATGTAATAAAATGAGACTTTTGGATGTTATTAATATTACCTTTAGTTGGTTTTAGAACTTATATTTTAGTTAGGAAATCGGTAGTTCCTACTAACCTTCCTTAAGTAATTCCAAAGTGAAATATTGTTCTGTATTAACTGTCTCAAATACAGTTTAGGTTTGGACTTGATGTGACCTGCATTTATCTTGTTAAGGGAAAATATCAAGTTCCTATTTGGGTTATATTTGTATCACTGTGGAATTGTTAAGTATGTTCACTGCATATACTACATGGAAAACGTAGTGTAGCTGTGTGTGGGGTTTAAGTATATACAGGAATTACATTTAAGTGTAAAGATCTGAGCACTTTACATGTTTGAAATTGTGGAATACAAGATTCTAGGATTTATACTCACTGCAGCAAGTTGTTGATGTCCATGCTAGGGGACACTGCAACAGCTAAAAGTTTGTGAGTTAGATAGTAACTGGATGAATTCATAAAAGAAAAAGTCATCAGTAGCTCTTAAATACTACAGAGTGCTAGCTCAGTAAGTTCCTGAGCATTGAAGTGGTGAAGGATGAGAGAAAAACACGTGTATAGACTCTTGGTGTTTTAGCAACCATTAACGTGCTTCCAGGAAATGAGATCTCAGAAAAGGATCTCAGTTCTTGAGGTAAGTATCAACTCTTTGAGTGAAACTGCATATACCTGTAACAAATGTAAATGTTGTGGTCTTTAAACACGTTCTTAGAATACCTGTTCTTTGTACTCTGTTTTTTTCCAATCAGAAGAAGACCTTCTGGAGTCTAAGAGATTCAGTAGCAGTTCTAGCGGTCCACCATGACACATGGACATAAATTCCACATTTGTAGTTCTGGTACCAATTGTGAAGATGTAGGGAAACTCAAGTAAAAAATGATTACCTTATTTTCCCAAAAGGGTGCTAAAAAAAAAAAATCAACAAAACCCTCCCACAACTTAAAATGTCACCTCTTTACTACTACTGTTTAGGGAAGAAATAATATTCCTTTGTCTATGTATATACATGTATAAAACCCATAAAATTTATAATTTTTTTCCTTAAACCTTATCATGAGTATCCTTTGCCTACAAACCTACTTTGCTCACTCCCTAAATTCTGATAAGCAGAAGCAGTTGATCAGTAGCTTGTACTGTAAACAAGTGCAATGGAAGGACTTTTAAAATTATTTGTAGGGCAATTTTAAAAATAAAGCTTTAAAAAATGTATCTTTCAGAGTGACATTTGAAAATAGGATCATAAGAGGAAAATATAACTGAATTTGAGATTCTCACTACCAAAAGATCATTTTTGTAGTCCTTATCTGAGTCAGTAGGTCTGCTTACAGCTATGTGTGATCTTTATAGTAAGTTTTTTTAAAATATGACCTAAACTTTTACATTTCATGGCAGTACATTTATCTGGGTCATATATTATGTGGTGATAATTAAGCTTCTTAAGAATATGAAAACCAAAGAAAAAACCAGCCATATTTCAAAATATGCTGACATCATGAGCACATTCATCAACTCTGGATCAGCTAGAAATGGCAGCGCATACTCTAGTGACATTTTTGTGAGTTCTTTTCCTTGATAATAGCAACCTAGTTTTTAAAAACTGAGGAAGCTATTATTTTAGCTGTCAGCTGCAGCAGTCTATGTGTAATTAAAATATGTTCTACAGTCCTTCACGAGAAAGGAGGGGTAATCAAGCCTTAAAACATTGTTAAAATTTGTATACAGCTTTTGAAACATGAGTATGTTTTCAAATAGGTTCTTGTCCCACAGACCCATTCACACAGTTGTATGCGTGTGCTCTCCTGGGAGATGTGCCTTACAAACAAGCTCTCCTTCCCTGGGAATGCCAGTGCCTTAGCTACACACAACTCCTGTGGGAGACGTGGGTGCTCCAGCTTCCATATTCCTGCACTGCTTCCTGACATCTATTAACGCTTGTGCTGGTAGAAAGCACCTCTGAGGTCAGGTGTGCACACTGAGATGTGGAGCACTATGTTGTCCCTCGCTATGTCTGTCCTTGCTGGGCACAGGCTCACCTCAGCATCTGAGCAGGAGGCAGCTCTGTCTGGCCCAGGCAAAAATGTGCTGCTGGTGGGGTGGCTTTTGATATTGTCAAAAAACAGGTTTTACCTGCTGCTCTGGTACCCTCTTCTTTCTCCCCACAGTTACTGGTGATAAGGCTTTCTTTATGCTTCCCATCAAGTGGAGTGTCCTCCCACCCCCCCATTAATCTGGCAGAAGGGTCATCTTCCTCACTAGGCCTCCTCTCTGTCAATGTTGGGTATTCCATTCACACGTAGTGTTTACACAGGCATTGCTATTTTAGCAGCTGATTTTATCCGTGACATTTTGCTGGGGGAGATGTGTAGATTTCCCAGGAGTAGGTGAACATACTTCTCTGCTTACCTGACAAGATAGGTGTAATATTCTGCTGGATCACTCATTTAGAGTACTTTGAGTCATAATTCCTTCCCTGCTAGAGAATGTTTTGTTCTTCCCAGATCACTTCCCAGACGAATCCTGATATTTCAGCACATCCTGTAGCTAGAAATATTGACCATATTGAATTGTAATCTACTTCCCCAGGTTTGACTTTGACAGCAGGCCAGAGAAATGGAGGAAAGTACAGTAAAACTTGTTTATGTGATGTTTTCAGATTGGCAAAATTGTAGTTGCTGCTCAGATCTTTGTGGCCTTTTTTTCACATTTGTGTTCTTAAGTTTCCTTCTGGTGGTGACTTTGACTTTTTTACATTTGTGGAGTCCTGAAATGCCAAGTTATCCATGGCAAAGGCATTACAGGTTTTCTTTTTTTTTCTTCTTCAGTGAGGTTTATAAGAGTTTATAAGTATAGACAGCAGTGGTGACCAAGTGTATGTTACTGTTTGCATGAATTTTATGTTCCTGACCACAAGAATCATAGAATTTTTTAGCTTGCAGAAGACCTTTAAGATCATCAAGTCTGTCAACTTGGCACCACCACCATGTTCACCATTAAATCATGTCCTCAAGTGCCATAACCATGTGTTCTTTGGGCAGTTCCAGGGATGATGACTCCACCACTTCACTGGGCAGTCTGTTCCAATGCTTTCTGACCCTTTCTGCAAAGACATTTTTCCTAATATCCCACCTAAACCTCCCTGCCCGCACTATGGCTGATACAAGCCAGGACACCATTGGCCTTCTTGACTACCTGGGCACACTGCTGGCTCATGTTCAGCCACTGTTGACCAGCACCCCCAGGTCCTTTTCTGCCAGACTGTAGTACTGGACGGGGCTGTTGTGACACAAGTGCAGAACCCAGCACTTGGCCTTGTTGAACCTCATACAGTTGGCCTTGGCCCATCAATCCAGCCTGTCCAGACCCCTCTGCAGAGCCTTCTGACCCTCCTGCAAATCAATACTTCCATCCAACTTGGTGTCATCTGTGAACTTGCTGAGGGTGCACTCAATTCTCTTGTTTCGAGCCCTGGGGGACCCACTAGTGACCAATCAACAGCTGGATGTGCCTCCATTCATTGCCATTCTCTGGGCCCAACTATCCAGCCAGTTTTCTACCCAGCAAAGAGTATACCCATCCACACCACAGGAAGCCAGTTTCACCAGGTTGGTCAAGCAGGACCTGACTTTCTTAAATTCCCACTGGCTGGACCTGATCCTCTGATTGTCCTGTACATGTTGCATGATGTCACTGATGATGATCTGTCTGCTCCATGAAAGAAGAAGATCCGTTTATATTAAATTAGGCTATTTTTCCTTCAAGAATGACAGATTCACCTCCAGGAATATCTACTTAGAGCACAAACAAACTCTTCAAATACACGAAAGATGTCAATAACATTTTAGTGTCTATGAAGAAAAAGTGATTGCCGTTTAGCAAAGGGAGAATGCATTCCCAAGATTCTTTTTAGCCTGAGAAGGTATCAGTTAGGAAGTTTTGATTGTTTCCCTGGGTGTCACTGTATCCATCAGAGACTTCTACACTCTGCTGTCAGTAGAACTGTGTTGAAGCAAAACTGTTGTCCCTAACCACTGTTCAAACAGGTGCTGTGCACCAGCAGAACCTTAAGATAGCGTCTGGAACTGCAGATGTCTGTGTGTCTTTCCTTGTTTTGTAAAAGCTCCAACTCAGCTTTCATGTCTGTTTAACTAAGGTAAACTTGCAAGAGCTTGAAGTTCTTGCTGATGTTTGCAAAGCTTCTGCTATTCGGTCAAGAATTTGATACACTGTAGCAGATTAGTGTTACTTATAAGTGTTATTGGATGCCACAGCCTGTTCTAAAACTGAAGGATTTACTTTACTGCAATGTGTAGATTCTTCTAAAAGAAGTCTGGTCTGTTGAGCACTTTCTCTAGAAAGAAGAGATCTGTTCAGAGTCTATCTAGAAAAGATGTGCGTGGATTCAAACAGCTACATTTTATGACACCTTATGAGCCTGGTATTGTATTTGCTCTGGTCATGATGATAATTGCCTGAAGGTAATCATTGCAAACAGCTGATACTGGGCAAAGAAGCGCTATTGATCCACATTTAGTGCCAGGCTGATAAAGCTGAGATCTCTCTCCTTGCTCAGAAGCTTGCTTCTGCAGTCAGATAGCTCAAGTGTGTAACTGTTATGGTTTATGTACTCCTGCGTTACTCTTCAGGTACCGAGAAGTGTGCATGTGCATTTCCCTAGCCTATGAAGAGCCATCACATGCCTGTAATGGTGAGCAGTGCCACCACTTTATTTTCCATTAGCAAAGAATGATGCCAAGTTTACTCTTTATTCAGTGAAAGAAGATTACTAATCCAAATTTTAATGAATATCTTTGAAGTGCCCTGGGCACACCAGCAGATGGGCTGTAATGCTTCAGGCTACTGGATCATGAGTAGGAAGTGTCCTACAAGATGACTTCTGAGACTGGGGTCAACCTCTCCATTTTAAAAGTCAGTAGGAAGTGTCAGTATTAACCAGAGCCAGCTGGTTGCCAGAGCCCCACTTGGGCATATGCCACATTTTCTACTTAGCGAAATAGGGCTGTATCTTCTACCGCTTCATTTCCATACAGTGTTTGGCCTGGCTGCAAGAGATTTTACATACATGGGAGCAATATCCCTGTTCTCGGACTTCTGAGAGTTCAGCTTAAGTCAGGTTGATCAGTAGTCCACAGGTTCTTCCATCTCATGATACACAGTGCTGGATGACTCTTTGGATTAGGGTTTGTCTGTTTAGTCCCCAGTTAGGGAGACTGATTGCTAGTAGGTGTGCTTTTTCGTCAGTCCAAGTTCTGTACATTATCTGTTTGATATGTACATACTGCTTGCACAGTTCAGATGCCCTGGTGTGAAAGTTAATGCAGGCAGTGTATTTTAGGGAAAATGAGTTACAGTGATCTCTCTCCTTGAATACACAATCATTTTGTCTGAAAATATGTTCCCATTGCAGTCCCCTTTCCTGTCTTTCATGACAGTTCCTGAAAAGGTAGATCAGATTAAGAGAATGGAACTGAAAAAGAAACTTGAGGCTGTGCAATGGTATTAGGTATATGTTAGATAATATATAAAAGCATGCATAGTACTTTGAAGTGGTAGCAACAGGAGAGAGAAACCCTATGATCTTGTGATCAAAACAAAAATGAAAGAGTTTTGAGAGATAAATACACTATAGTTTTCCCTTAAATAAAAGGGTCAAGGTAGCTAGTTTCCCTTGCGGTTTTCTTCCCCCTAGGGATAGAACTCGCTCCTGCAAAGACTGTGAGGAAGGAGATGCCAATAGAAGTGGTGACCTGAGAGGACAGAAATGGGCTAAGGAATGGATATGGTGATGGAGAGACCTGAAGGGCTTGGCTTTGCCAGAGATAAATGGCACAAGAGAAGGGATGTCTATGTGGGCTGTCTAGATTAGCTCTGGTGAGAGGGCTGAGGAGAGCAGAGGGAAAAATGTAGCAGAACTGTTGAGTGCATGGTGATGACAAAATGGAGAGAATCAAGGTGATAGGAAAATGGACATACAGAAGGACCTACGGTCAATTACAGATATACAAGAGTACAAAGGTGGTTTTTTTTCCAGAACCCCAGGTAGAATCCTGAAGCTGTTTCACTTAATTAAATGCAAAAGTGATATACTTTGCAAATAAGAGATGTTATAGTTAAGGTGGTGAAATTGTAATTTACTGTTTTCAGAAGTCGTATTAAGAAAGAGTCACATAACATCTAAACCAGTCAAATGTTTGCAAGCTATGAAGAACTAAGAGAAGGTTACTGGATTAAAAATGTAGAGTATTGAAAATGCTTATTAAAAGTGAGAAGTACATACCAGATTTACATTCTCTACAAGTTTGCCTTTCTGCTTGTTTTGTAATCATTGCACTCTGAACTAAGTCACTGCAAAACCAGACTGGAAATATTTTGAAAGTAAATAATATGTACTTTCTACCTAGTAGAAGTACTTCTTTAGGATATGAGAATACTTCTATAAGTATTAGATATGTTAGTGAATGAAACTAGCACTGGAAATTTCTGATACTGATTTTTTTATGAAAAGAAGTGAATATATGGTGCTCAGTCTATTCCATCTACTTGTAATAGGTCCATAGGGTTCAGAGTCTATGTAAGAGTATTTTGAACTTTGTAGCCTTATGGATTGCTAATTAGCCACTTGATGTTTACATGCTGTTTTGAGAAGTTTTATTCACATAAGTGACAGGTAATCATAGCTACCAACTTTTTTCCTGCTGTTTTCTGGCTGATCCTCCTATGAAATCCTCCATCTGCTCTGTGATACTATTCCCATAACTTGTCTCTGCTAGTTGATCCTGGATACTGTGTTTCCTTGCTAACTTTGATAGAAAATGTCGTCAGTGCAATTGCATGGCAAGAAGTTGCACCAAAGTTTTCAATGCTCAAGAAAAAAGAAGAAATTTCATAGGACTGTGTAGAACATACATTATTAGTGGGATATTTCTGTTGAATATTCAGTTTCAAAATTGTGACCAAGTTAGTGTCAGAAACTTTAAAAGTTTGAGTTTGTATAAGAGTTCCATGTGCTACAATTTGCAGCTTGTGTCATTTGTGTGGATGGAAGGACAAGGTTGCTTTCTCTTAGAATTACAAGGGAATTATGCAAGTCAAATATGATATAGCAATGACTATTCTGAGTATTCCTATGGGACTTAGGCTGTGATAAGATTCCAGACATATTTGTCCTATGATTTAGGTAACTTTGTGTCTATCCATAGGTAGAAACTTAACTTTCTAGTGAAACTGAGTTCATAATGAGTTTGGAAACAAAAGAGCAGTTATTTTTAATACTGGCACTGACACTGTAATTTTGATGTGTCAATACATTTGGAGAACTGGTGGTTCAGTTCTCATGGCATCTCACAATGTGAACTCTTCTGTCAAATACTATAAAAGATACTTTGAACGTCTTAGCTGGTCTCACTGAGTGGGAACAGTGATGTTTAAAATTAGCCTGTAGAATTGCCTTTTGACTGCTCTGGTTCCCAGTATTTTTTAAAAAAATAATAATTAGTACTTTTGAGGCTAGTTGCTGTTACTACAGCTTTTCATATTTCACCTTTTCCTGGCTCCTCTGTTCTAGGTATCCTAAAGGAGGATCATTTATCCGGCCAAACAAGGCAAATTTTGGAGTAGATTTTCTAACTGCAGTAAAGGATCGGTACGGATTGAATGATAAGCAAGATATTCAGTATGGGACAGAGAATACAGTAGTATTTGGAACGAAGACTGTGGAATTTGTTGGCATGGATTCTGTTGCAGAACAGCAAAGGCAAGTATAATTTATGAAAATCTAAGATACATTATTAGTGATTGATTAGTCAAGTAGTTTGACTAATCTGACTTTCAACTGTAAGGAAAGGAAGCTGACTGCCATGCATATAAGATTGTCATATGTCTAAAAGTAAGCCAAATTGCACTATGGTGGAAGAGACAAGAAATGTTTGTATTGTGGCTTCATCATTTACAGGTTTTACAGATAGGAATCTGGGATTATGTCATGTTTGAGTACTCACAATCCTCCATTTGATTTCATGAAGTAGAAGGTGATGATATCTGGGGAGGAATGACAGATATCATGATATTGGCAATCATCATACACATGCATGGTCCTTTTAAATAGATGTGTTTTGATGTTTTCTTAATATTATACAGTATTATTTAATCTTTGTTTACTCGTATCTCTAAAGACTTTGTAACTAAGAGAAGGAAGGCAGAAAGTCACTGTGCTGCTAGTGAAGAGGTCTTTCAGTCATTTCATGTTGTGTTCATGTACCTGGAAGGGTAAGAAAGGAAGTAACTTAATGATGTGTATTAAATTGCAGTTTTAACGGTCTCCAACAGTAGAGATGTATTTGTTCAGTAGGTGGCAGTCTCCTTCTGAGCTGATATTCCACAACTATTCTCCCTTTGTCTCCCAGAACATTCTAAGCAGTCAAAAATACTTTTTTTAATATAAATTATTTGCTAAGCAATACAAAGGATGCCCAAATAACTCAGAACCTCTTGCAGAAAGTATCACAAGAAACCTGTTTAACTTGGAACCTCTAATTAAATTCCAGTTTGCATAGCTATGTTTAATCTGTTTTATCATTCTTTTTTTCAGTTGGATGAAGGGTTTTGGAGGGAGTGGTGGGGGGTGGGAATTGTGATTCAACCGGATCTATTTTGTAGTAGCGATGTAAAGGCAAAAGGCAGAGATGTTTTCAAGTAAGAATGACACTGCAGTGTAGCAATCTCCATACCGCCAAATCCAAAGGGGAGGATATGTATAAAAAGGATGTTATTTATACAGGTATTTATACATACCTGTTTCTGTTTGAAGATTAATTAACAGGATTTTGTTTGAAGGTTAATGAACAGGATGTTTCTTTCTCATTCAGACAGCTGAACAAACTGGTAGATATCTCGGTGCGTGAGTGTGCAGTGAGCCATGCTGGTCAGACAGAGGAAATCAGCAGAACGTGTGCCAGTATCCTTTTTTTGCTACATTGCATGATACCACAAGTGAAGTACATATTTTAGCATTCCAAGTGTTCACTTCAATGAATGATACTTGTATCCTTTGATTAAAAAATAATTAAAACTGTAGTGTATATTTTGAAGTTTAATGCAATAGTCACAGAGTTAAAAAGTAGATGCCTACAGTTTTTGACAAGAAATGCAAATTGTGGATAAAAATGCAAGTATTGTCATAGATTGCTACCCTGACTGCAATTTCATAAGGCTTCAGCAATGGGTTTCTTTTTAAATTTAACCCTAGAATAGATAACTCCATAAAAGTACAACTGATATGTTCTGTAGACACCAGAGGTTTCCAATATATAACAAATAATGCGTTCAGTATTCTGTGTGTTGTGGCAATGTTACAGAAATACAGAGAAGGTATTATTTGTTCATTTGAAAGGACTGGTTAGAGTTCCTGTCAGTATAGAAATTAATCCATTTTAGGATTTGAAAAGTTAAGCTATTTTATAAATCTGTAAGCCATGTCCATACCACAAATCAAAATAAAATTTGCTGTAACTGAGCAATAGTACCTCTTAGCCCAAGCAAGTGTAATCTATTTCTGTTTGTTTTATTCAAAACCAAACCCTAATTCTAATTTCTGAAAAAGGAAGTTCAGATCTGAGATAAGTTTTTTTTCTTAACGTGACATTTCAGATATGAGGCATATAAACCTATCAAAAAATCTGCTATCGTCTTGGGAGACAGTAATAGATATTGCTTCTCAAGTTCAGAATCTGGAAACACTTAATGTCAGGTATAAATATTCATGTTTGGGTTTCTCTGCCTTTGGGACAGGGACAAAAACCAAGAGACTCAGGGTTTAGCTTTCTAAAGGTAACAGACTCATTAAAGATACCAAGACTCATTTTAATGGAAGATAAGGTTTTAAATACTTTATTGGGTTTTTTAACTCTTTTTCTTAAACAACTTGTGTGTGCTATATATTTGTACACATCCCTTTTCAAGGAAAGACTAGAACTCTAAGAGTTTAGCATCTATGTGAAACTAAGTTCTGGAGAAGTGTTTGGGACAGATGAATGCTGACTGGAGTTTTGTAAAATTAGAAAAATCAGTTGCCTGAAAAATAGAATATAGATTTCAACCATTGAACATTTACAGGACTTCAGGGACTTGTCAACATGTTCAACATAAGAGATTGCATCATTTTTATGCAAACTGGCTTGTTGGTTCGGGATTTTAGAGTTAGGCAGTTAGACTGGAGGTAAAAAAAAATTACTCAAAGTACTTTTACAGACAAGAAGAAGCAGAGAGTATAGAAACGTAAGTTTACAGTGTCATAAGATCCCTTTACATGCTTTTGCAGCATCTAAAACAATTAATTCTATGGATTTTAAAGCTCAGTTTCCCCCAAGGCAGAACTGACTTAACCTGCAGGAGTTTGAAGCTTGCCTGAGAAAGCTCCAGTAACACATCCTTACCTCTTTTAAAGCTTCTCACATAGTGTTTTTGAATCAGGTTTAGCAGTAGCTGTCTGTTTGCCTTCTGGATTTGCAAAACTGTTTGGGTTTTTTTTCATGAGAATTTTTAGAAATTTTTTTCTCCATAGAAAAACTGTGAAGTAAATATATTTTCATTTTCTTTGAAGTCTTAATGCTTTATCTCTATTTTTTATTATTGCTGATATATTCTGAATGCCCAGGCAAGTCTTTATTTAGGCCCATTTTGTTTAAGGATGATGTTTACCAAGTGTCCTGACGCTAAACTGAAATATCAGTAATGCTTTAACCAAATGTTAAGTATCCCAAATCCCAGCCCATTTCTGTCCTAAAATGATGCTGATAAGAACTGTGGATCATGGTGACAGATCTAGGGGGAAATCTCTCGTACAGTGATGACACTGGAAAAGGAGGGAGGATGTTGTTAAATAAAGCTGCAATTCTATCAAAACAAGAAAGAATTCACAAAATAATTTCAAAATAAAGAACATTTCTAGTACACACCTTTGCACCATAACTAGCACATGCCAGAAAAATCTTCTGGCATGAACTAACACAATGGATTAAAGTCTGTAAATAAGTAGCAGCCTAAACCACCGGGGTTTTTTATGTATTTTTATAGTTAATGTTGCAAAATTGTACTTTTAAAAATAGTTGTAAGTGGTCCATTTGTTTTGATATTTAGCACTGAACAGCTGTTTGCAACCTGGGTGCTATTTGTAAATCTAACTTTACCTAGAGCATATCATGATTTATTGTTATCAGCATGTGTGAGAACACAGAGAATTTATTTTAATTCACCCAGAACTTTTTTTCAGTTTTTCATTGTTGAGAAGTGCAGATTAGACTGAATGGTTTTCATAAGTTATTTGTGAAAAAAATAGGAAACAAAATGAGACTGATGCTGGAATCTGATGCTTACAACTACAAACTGACACAGTCTGAATTAGTTTTTTATTGTTTTGCTCTTCTGTTTGTTTAAAAAGGAAAGACCCTTAGAAGGTAAGTCTGCGACTGATTTTTTTTTTTTTTGTACATGGAATACTGGAAGAAGAATAAAAGTGATTAACCATCCACCAGCTCTCTATGTGGAAATTTAACCCATAAGTAAGCATGAACTACACTGAGAGATTTTTATGAGAACAAGCAGGTAGATTAGGTAAGAAATAAAACCTTTTGTTTAGGGTTGAGTAATGAAAAATGATTTGAAGACTGCAGATCTGAGATTTTTTTTTTTTTTTTGTAGTGATACTTTGCTGTTGAGAGTGCATTTTACATACTTTTGTTTTACTGGTATCTGGATAGTCATGTAGGCTCTTTATTTTTCATTGACACTAAGGAGTTTGATCCCAAAAATCTGACTTTGTTTCATTTAATATTAACCAAAAACATAATTTTCATGTTCAAAACTTAAGGGAAGAAAAGGAGAGAAAGAGGTCACAGATGAACAAATCTGCATTCCTGAAGGAGAAAAGTAAATTAGGAAAGAGTATGGTTGAATGTAGCTAGAAGTATATTTTATTATATTTAAAAATCTATGACATCTTGGCAGTGATTTTTAAAATTTTTTTGGTGTAAACTGTTTTTCTCTTTATATGTAATTCCAACCTTGTGAGTTAAATAAATGCAATTATTCTTTATGCAAATAATTATTCTTTTTATACAGTGAAAACAAAATGAAATTTCCATCTACAACAACTTCTATATCCAGTGCATTTTCAAAATTGAAGATTCTGGCACTTAATCAAACTGAAATAACATGGACAGAGGTAATAACCTTTCCTGGCTTTGTTTTTATTTAATATCATTAGGTTTTGAGGCCAGGAAAGCACAATAAACATTTAAGCACTATATTATTCTACTGAAATGCAATCATCCTTAGAAAAGATGCTGTGGGGTAATTGCACTAGTTATGTAGTTAGTTACATCTGTAAATTGCCAAGTCAAGATAAAGCAGTTGTAGTATTATTGTCGAAATGAAAACTTTTTGCTTCCTTGTAGTTGTTGAAGGTTTATCTGTACTTTTGTGCATGTGATAGAACAAAGGCAAATGGAAAGAGAATACATCAATATGACATGAAATACTTGTTTTGGCATCACTGTGCATCAACAGGAGATTGGCTTGGTATCTTTGCACATACTGATGGTTCTTGAAATACCTGATGCCTAGTTGTGTGCAACACAGAGCACAGAATAAACAAAGCTCTCTGCCTTTTAGGTGCTGAAACAGGCAAACATTTAAATGACTCTCCTCTGATATGATGTTTTATTAAGAATGAAGTCTAGTTGTCAAATATGTTAGTAGTGGGCCTTTTTTCAGAGATGGGGCTTAGGAATTGCATTATTTGGACTATTATTTGGATTTCTCAGGGGCAGATGTTATAGTACTGCACTGTAAAATGACATGGATTTTCATATTTTGGCTGCCAGTCACTATCCACTAAAAGTGGGGTTTGAGTAGAAAGAAGCTTCTTCATTCTCCTGTCTTGCAGCAGGGCTTGAAGACGATCCCTGCTATATTTTTGTTTAGTGTCCATTCACTGAGCTCTTAAACCATCTACAGGGTTTATGGTAGGACAGTTGATAATCCGTCCGTAACAGCGGCAATAGGAATGGTGAAGTGAACGGAAGAACTAAGTGGCTACAAACACTTTAAATGTCATCTAGTGCTCACCAGAGTGAATCTGTGCATTGTGCTGTTTAAAATGTTGGCAGCTGCCAGCAGCTTTCCTCCATCCCAGGCTGACCAAAAGGCTGGTTGGAGCCATTGCTGCAGGCAGGTTAGACTTCTCTAGGGATAACTAATTTCAGAGAGGAGCCCCAGATTAGTCAGAGCAATTTAAAATTATGTAGGTTTTGCAATTGTTGTTGAAACTCTGCTCTGGCTGACGATTCATCACTGCTGTAAAGATATTTTTTAGCTCAGAAATCTTCTTTATAAATCTGAAATCTCTTCCAATTCATTCCCTTATAAGCTGGGAGACGTAAGCCTGTGCCTAAAAGGGTAGTCAAACAAAAGGGAAAAAATAAAGGGACCTACCTGACATCAGTACTCTGTGAACAAACCACTTGAAAATGTTAGTGCTTAAGCTCTAAGGAGAGTTACTTGAAAGGTCAACTTTTAAATAGAAAATAATAATGAATATAATCCAGGAAAAAGAGAAGATATACACTGATTGTCAGTGTGAATACAAGCGAAGTCTAAAAGTCCTAGAAATGTTTTAATTCAAGCTAAAACAATTTAATGGTGAACAGTGTTTCCAAATAGCTTACTGTCATATGTAAGAATATATGGCATTGTCCTTAAAAGAGAAGATTTATTTTTGGAATTTTGTATCTCTTCCTTTGTTTTGAAGTATTTTTTACAGTAGAGGGACATGCTTAACCGTTATGCAGTTATAGCTCCACATTTACATGTCTCGAACATCAGTTTTCAAAAAAGTTCTTTCATTATTGTGTTATTTGCATATATCTAAATACACCTGAGATTTCTATTAGTATACCAGTAAAAGAGCTTATTACTGTATAATTGACTGATTGTTCAAAACATAACATATAACCTTCAAGAGGGAAAAATGTCCTGTAAAATATCCTAAAGTTTGCAACCATTGACTTAGAAATGGAATTCATGCATTTGAGTGTAAAAAATTCATATTTATGGTTCTAAAACCTTTTTTTTCTTATTCAAATGATGTTACATTTGTTATTCAGTTTTCCAACTAAGGTCTTACATTCATAATATAATCTACTATTATACAGGGTAAAAGAAAAATCTGTGTTAGAACAGAAGTGCAGGATCATGTTTCTGACACTAGCAAGTAGCAGGTAGTTGGGAAAAATTCTAGGCAAAGGGTAAGCATATGGTAAGAGCTTCTTGTAATCTGGAATTGTGTGTCTTTGTGAGCTTGAGACTGTATATCTCTATTTAATTAAACTTTGTGGATTTTTTGTTCCATGATTTATCTAACTGTATTAAGAACCCATTTGGAAATGTTGCTATCCACATCTTTTAATATTCAGTTTAACCCTTTTTGTTTTTTGATATTGCTACCTAAAAATTTCATTTAATAAGTCCCAATATTTTATATGGCAGTAACTGAGAACAGCTATTCTCTGTTTCATAGCTTTGATTCTTGTTTAGCTTCTTTGTACCTTTCCCATTTATATTATTTGCTTCCTGGGATAAAGAGACTAAAAATGCAGGAGAATCATGGACTTAGAGACACTGTCATCTTTATTATTTCCTGTCATCTTTATTTCTTTTGTAATAGGTCTTGCATTTCCATTTTTCTGGTTTTGATCAGTGGCTACTCCACTGGCTATTTGTTACAGCCTCCCTACCAGCTCTCCACAATAAGCCTCCAATCTTTCCTGAGTGTTAATTCAGTGTCAGATCTGAGAACTTTTGTTTCCGTGGAAGCTGAAAATTGGGCAATTTGAGTTTCTTAGAATTGTGATGTGACCTGTCATTTGGTTTTGGCAATTTTCTAATCACTTGGTCAATCTATTGAAAAACCTTCTTTTGCCTCAGTTTTGTGCAGCTTTTATATTCCATCCATCCATCACAACACAGGACTGTTGTGGAGGAATCCCCCAAAGGTTCTCTGTTGTTGAACGTGCATCTCGTTTCTCTTGACTCTGCAGGTTTCTTGTCATGCTTCTTCACCGCCAGTAGATAACTATTTTGGTATGTCTTGTTGACACAGAGGAACACTATCCACATTAGAGAGATAAAATATTGGTGTTTCCTGCTCTTGCTTTGGGGCAGGAAAAGTTGTTACATCTGACTTTGTAAGTTTTTGTGTGTTGCAGATATGGCAGCAGGATGATGTTTCATATTTTCGTGCGTGAAGCAGTTGAGCTCCAAATCATATGCTGCCTCTTGAAGAGATCTCAGTGTTAACACTTTGTGTTGTATATATAATAAGACAGTTATACATACATCCAGCTGTATGACTACATACAGCAGCAATGGCCAAGGACAGGGGACATTTGTAGGGGAATGTATAAACATAAGAAATTGAATTGGATTGTCCGGACCTCTCAACTTCACTTCTTGTAACCTTTGTAACCTCCTGTAAGCTTTAGGTGATTGTGCACTGTGCATCTATATGTCTGTGTTCTTGCATCTCAAAAACTCTGAATCTGCTAGTCAGTTACAGTCACATTTTGAAAAGAGGTTGGGGGCTTAAAAATAATTGATTACCTACAAATTCGCAGCAAATAGGAATGTAGATGGATGAAAGAGCCCCTGTAAGTTTCCTAACCAAGGCAGGAGCAGCAGGATGAGCTCACACTTAATTTGCCTCTGGAGAATACACACCAGAAGAAACTCACTGAAAAGAATAATTTGCCACATGCAGGCACAAATCTGTAGAAAAGCAGTCAGTGCCAGTGCTTATGGAATTCCACGTCCTAAAACTGAACAATTTTTGACACTTTCACAATTGCATACAAGACTCTGTTTTATGCCATATGCAGAGTTTGTACTGCCATTTCCTCACCTTGTCATAGGGAAAACCTGGTCACTGCAGCCCACCAAATGAACTTCACTTGGTCTCCAGGTCACACAGTCTCAGCTGCAAGGGCAGCCTCAAGTCTGGGACTGTAAGTCCTGTGACTGCAGAAACCTTTTGATGTCATCTGTGTTGGTATGTCCAGGCACTGGAGAGCCATCCGGACAAGAGGGAAGACTAGGAAATCTTTAATAATTGTTTCTGTGGTTTTGGGAGCTACAGCTTGTTCTGATCATGTTTAAAGTTTAAAGCAAATTTGCTTAAAATATAGTTTCTGGAATATTTTTTCCCAATTTTTGTTATATTAAATAAAGTTTTGCTCTTAGGTTCTTCTTTGTGCTCAAGGATGGCCAGCACTTGAAGAGTTGTACCTTTCTTGTAATAATATTACAGTTTTGGAAAGGTGAGTAACATAAGTCAGTCAATCATCGGTGAGTGATGTACCACAAAGTTGTGTTGTACATAAAGTTACAGTCCTGTAACTCACCACTGTGACATAACTGTAAAATAACGGATGCAAACTTCATGTGATGTACTTCAAAACACTTATAAATGTACACAATTATGTGCATGTAACTATATACTTAGGAAACTAGTGTTTTCATTAGCTGATAACTTTAAATGTTCTCTGTTTCTGTTTGGTTTCGGTTTTTTTTTTCCAATGTATCAGGCCTGATAATGTCCTGAAGACCCTGAAGTTGTTAGACCTTTCAGACAACCAGTTACTGGATGGAAATCAACTGCATCTAATAGCACATCTCCCCAGGTAGCTGTAAACAAATTTGCTGGAAATTCTTTGTCCTGGATATTCATCTCCATAGTCTTTGTTGACTGAAATACGATAGTATTGATGTTGCATGAAAGATTTATGAGATTTTGAAGTAGTGGCATTTTGCCCTCTTGAGGACAGTAACTGCATTATTTAGTTGAGCTATTTTAATATAATCCTACTTTTGTTGCATAGTAACACATTCTTAAGCTGTGTATTATTAGGTTTTCATTTTATGCTTATTAAACAAAGGTATTTTACCACATTTTGCTACTTTGCAGAATTATCATCTTTCACTGAACACAAAAATGGCATCTATGATTGTAAATAGCCACAAGTGATAAAAATCACACATTTTAAATCCTGGAGCCATTCTGAAAGCTTGAAATTGTTGCACCTACTTAGTGAAAATTTTATTCCCTGAACACTGCTGAAGTCTGGGAACTGTCTGTGAGGCTGCTGTTCATTTGTCAGTGATTACGTACCATGTCAAAAGTTGTAGGCCTTTATTAAAAAAAAAAAGGTAGTATTTCCTTACAAAAAACTTCCTGTGCCACGTACAGTGATCACTGTATCTATTAAATTTCAGGTTAGAACAGCTAATACTTAGAAACACTGGCATATCTTCTATACACTTTCCTGATGCTGGATTTGGTATGTAAAAGAAGTAATTTATTTATAGTTTTATAATTCAGTTTATTTAAAGTTTTCACTGTTGTCTAGTAATTTACTCTTTTTCCTAGGATGCAAGACTAAAATGTTTCCTTCACTAAAACGCCTTGCAATAAATGACAATAAAATATCACAGGTAAGTTACATTGTGGTAGTTTCTCATTTTGTAAATACACATATCTTTGTTTAAAAATAACTTGCAGTTCACTTTTTAAACTTTTATCTGATTATAAGATTCTGAGATAACTACTGAATACTTTGATCAACACAGAGACATAATTTAAAAGTGTAAAAACATTTCTTAACATGTCAGTTAAACATGTTTATAGCAGCTAACCATATCCTTCTGCTACCTCATAATTCTAATGATCTGAAATTCTGACTTGCTCCTTGTTTTGTTTTAATTAAATGTAGTGCAGTTCTCCCCTCAGGTGAATGAACAGAATACAAGTACTTGGTTCTGATGATCAAAAGAATATTTTCAGTCATGTTTATTGTACAGGAAAAGTCAGCATTACCATGTGTTATTCTGAAATGAAGTTATGTTTTATGTTTCCTCAAAAGACTGTTCCCTTCCATTTCAGTGGTCATCTATCAATGAGCTTGATAAACTGCCAAGTTTGCGGTCTCTGCAGTGTAACAATAACCCTCTCATGGACACAGAGAAGAACCCAGAGACCCTGATACAGCTAATTATTGCCAAGATAAGTCAGCTGGAGGTTTTGAACAACTGCGAGGTATGTGATATTTCAACAAATTGCATGAGTCTGGGGAAAAACATTAAATCACTGCCCGAGGAAGTGTCTTCACTTTCTTTTAAGGTTATTGATTTTTTGCATGCAGGAAAAGTAAAATGCCAACTAGTCCATCACCCACATCAGTGGGGCAGCTGGTAGGGCTACAAGACCAAGCCCCCTTTGTGGATGTTGCTAACTCAGTGGGGACTAGGATAAGATGGGTCAATGGTGGTTTTTTTCAAGTGCGTGTGTTGTGTTGAAGTTGCAGGACTGTTAGCAAAAACTATATTCTTAAAAAAAAAGCACTGTTTCAGTGACAGTAATACCAACACTTGCTTTCCACAGTAGGAAAATATCATTATCTTAACCAAATCAAACCTTCAGCAAATGTTCATCATGAAGAGGAGCAGAAGCAGTGTCTAACTCACAGCTACAAAAAGCATCCTTGTGTCATCATATACAGCAAGATCTTTGCTCATATGTTCATTTATGTCTCAGTCAGTGCACAGACTTAGGGGCTGTAGGATTCTTAATGGCTCTAAAATGTATTGAATATATGGATCAGTCAGTATTTGGTGATATGGTTTGTAAGGTTCTTGGTATTGTTAAATACATTGAATACCAAGTAATACCAAGGAATCGGTGTCATTAATTTGATTTTATTCTCTGGAAAGTCAATACAATTACATTATGTGCCATTCCTGTGTCAGTACAGATCCTTCCTGCTGAAAGAAGAGGAGCAGAGCTTGATTATCGCAAAATATTTGGAAATGACTGGTTAGAAGCTGGTGGGCACTGGGACCCAGAGAAAAACAAACCAAGCGAAGAATTTCTTGCTGCCCATCCCAGATACCCATCTCTCTGTCTCAGTGAGTACAAGTACAGTAAAGTAGCATTTCCTCAATTCTGGCACTGTGCCAGCACTGGTTTGGTTGGTCTGTCTTCAACTTCTCTGTCCCCTTGATGCTTTTTCCATGTGCTGCTACAGCTTTAGGAAAGCCCACGCATTGGCAGGCCTGTGCGTGAGTGGCTTTTGCTCCCGTGGGGCAGCTGCACAGCACTGCACCCTTCAGGGCACTGTGCCTCAGAGATCCCAACACCTGTGAGCATCTGCCCCATCACTGCTGGTGAGCAGGCAGTAGCTCTCTTCACCTGGGGCTTTTCTAAAGTGGGGATGTTAAAGCAGCACCTCCATGTCCCAAATGCTCTGGCAGTGGATCAAAGGTCATGTCTGCAGCACTGCTTGCTGCAGGAGCCCAACACTTCCTGTGCTGAGGGAACTGAGGCAGCAGGCTCTTGCCTGATCCTACACCACAGTGCTCTTAAGTCTTCTCTTGAGTTTTAGTCCTGAAGGGTTCATGTCTATGTGCACTTTCCTTCACACAGAATATGGTGCACCTGAAGAAGGAGAACTGAAGGGACGACAGCCTTTGACTCTGAAAAATCAGCTTCTGAGTAAGAGGCCAGAAATGGTCAAAACTGTTCTTTCTGCATTTAGAATATTTTATAAGCTTAGTGTTTCCTGGGTGTATATGGAGGACAAAAGGTTCAAAAGCCTTTGAGATGTCACAGAGTTCCAGTTTGTATTTCTGCTTTCCTGAACTGTGAGTTTGACTAGATCCCTGCTTTTGTGTACTCTCTATTTCCCCCTCAACCCAAGCCAAGTGATTTTATTAATCATGACAATAGAGAATAGAGGTATTTGATACTCCATCCTGATACGTGAATGGCTTCTATACAGAAGACATCTGAGGTTCTAACCTCAGCCCCACTGTTTTCTGGTATTGTCTTCTTTATAACTTGTTAACTTTAGGACAGACAAGAAAAATATGGGTAGCTTTGGTTATTTGGGGCTGTCAACATTCTTAATCTAGGTTATGGACTGGACTTGCAAAGTCATGTAGCTGTGTTTCCCAGATGACAGAAGAACAGAACCTTTTTTCACTCCATGGGCAAAACAGTATTTCAAGGCATTATATTCTAAGGCATTTAGGTGGAAGACTAAATAGAACAAGGAATCTAGTTGGCTATATGTAATATAAACCTTTTTTGAAGGATAAGTCTTTTAATCTCTGTAAAAAAAAAAGGGCTAATAATGTTCTTAAAATCTATTTGTATGGTGCTTTTGAGGGCCCAAAGCCTGTTTTAAACCAAATAAGCAGTTTCCATTCCACTGCAGGTTATTTAAATAAACGAAAATAGAAATTAAGCATTTTTAGGTAAATACTCCTTTTGGCCAAAAAAAAACATCTTATGCATCAGGGAATCACTTCTAAATACTTTCCCTAATTTACCAAAGATGAATAAAAACTTGATTATTTTAATAAAATTCCGTTTAATTTTTCAGAGAATGACTAAATGCTGTCTTAGCTGCTCAGATGCAGGCTACATCCTAATTTTTTTAGATAATCAGGCTGAGCTAAGGGAAACAATTTGTAATAAAAACAGACTGGAAAGACTGTGCTCCTGCTAGAACAGCCTTATTGTTCTTTCACTAATGCCTCACTGTTCTTCCTTAAGCTTTGACAATTAAGTGTCCTGAGAAACCTGAACAGAAGCCAGTAGAGAAAAAGCTACCAGGTAAGAAATCTTGGCTTCTGTTCAAACAGTTGTTTTGTAGCTCCTTTTCAAATAACTGTATGAAAGAATGGCAGCTGCCTCTGGCTTTGTCAACTCCTAAACACTTTCCTCTGTCATATAAAGAAATGTCAAAGGTAGAAATGGTTTGAAAAAGTCACTGTTCTCCTGGCCTTCATACTTACTTTCAGTCCAGCGTGAAGATTGAAAGTTGATGCTTGTCTTATGACCTCTGCTGCTGGTTTCATCATTAATGTGTTTGAGGCAATTAAAGGCTAATTATCTGGTGGATGTGTTAACCAAGTAACCAGAAAGTGAAGTCCCAAGAGGCAACTACGTAGTCTGCGGATCTAGATACTGAGGTCTAGGATGTAATATATTGTTAGAAATCTAGTTCTATCAAGTTCTATCTTCTATTGTCTTTTAAAGTTTTAGTGCTTCTAGTGAGACTAGAATGAATAAGACTGTTCTAAATCAAGTTGATGTCTTGGAAAGATGTGTCAGAATGGAGTCTGAGAAAAAAGACTTAAGCTTTATTCTAAAATAAAAATCACATTTATTATCACAAGTTGCATAAAATCAGATAGATACAGCTTTTACAAAAATGTTCGATAGAAAAATATTTGTCTAAGTACAACATGTGGTATTACAGGAATAACTCGCTATTGCTGTGCCTTTAGATAAAGCTTCAAAAGAAGTGAAAGTTCAACCAAAATATCGAGCATATCTATTGCAAACACAGGTATCGCCTCAGGAACAGACTACATCTACTCATTCAAGATCCATTACAAAAAATATCCCTTACTATTACTGACTTCATTATATAAACGTTATCTGCTGATAATTATCTGCTGACAATTTGTTTGGGACTAATACTATTACACCATCCCTAAGAATGGCACTAGTTCCACAGTGACATTCGCTTACTTGTGCTGGGAAAGCCAATTCCTGGTAATGAAAACTTCAAGGAACAGTTGTCAGATGCAAGTAGTCAGAACGTGACTGGTGTGTGTCCCAAAGGTCACTTAGTTTAGCACGGAGAAATACAAACTCAAAAATGGGAAGTTATGAAGCCGTAACACTTTAATTTGGTATATGGGATCAAAGCGCTTAAACTGCAGTAGCATATCCTGCTGTATCCATCACAGATTAAAGAATTTTCAACTTGATATTAGCAGTTATGATTTCAGGTACCAAAGGCATTATTGCAGTGTTAGAACTGAAGCAGCAATACAGCCTTTCACTGTTGCTATGAGCAAGTAAAGTGAAACACTGGTACTTAGCTGCAGCTCAGTGGCAGCAGCATCTTTCTAATAACTTTTCTTTCTTTCCCCTTGACAGAGTCTATGACTATTCAGAAGGTCAAAGGACTGCTGTATCGCCTATTTAAAATTCCTGGTTCAGAATTGAAACTGTCCTACGAAAGTTCTAAAGTAAGTTAAAAATGGGTAATTCAACAATAAAATGCTTCATGCTGCTAAAGGTCAATAGCATGTTCTAAAATACTACCTAAGGAAAGTCATTTCACTTCAGGAGGGCAGTCTTCATGCTGTAATTTAGGACCTAATTTCATTCCTGTAATATGACAGTTTCTCTCTGACTGCAATTGCCTGATGTATATTTGGTTTACATGAAGGGATTTCAGTTTAAGTCTGAGAAGTGTCTTTTTTCTCCTTTCTTATTCTAGCTGGAAGGAAAAGAAGTTGAACTAGACAATGACTTAAAGCCTTTGCAGTTTTACTCAATAGAAAGTGGAGACTGTGTGTTAGTACGGTGGTAAGAAGGGACTCTTTTGCTAGACTGAAGGAAAAGCCGACACAGGAACTGCAGAAGAGTGACAGAGTGCCCGCAGGCAGCATGGACAGCCTGTGCCTGAACACACCTATGGGCGAATATGAGTTTCACACGTGGCACCAGAGGGCTGTACAACTGTACTTTCAGCTCCTCACCTCAATCATCAGACTCCATGAAAGCATCTGCTCATTTCTCTTACTTGAGAGACACCAAATAGTTTAATGCTTCAACTAAATAAAACTCAAGGTAACCTTTCTGCCAAGATTTTATACTGCCTTCCCGCTGCAGTGGTGAGAATTTGTTTTACTGAACCGAGTACAGGGTTTAGTTGTGATCTCTTTGCTTACAAGACAAGATCAGTGCTGCACTGAGAGGCTACTTGCTCTTTGTTTCCACCTACGTCCAGCCACCTTACAGCAAACGAAACCCAGCAGTAATTTTAGAAGTACCTGCACAGCCTTAGACTATTAAAGTCAAAATCTGACAGACCTTTATCCTACCCTACAGTGTTAACATACCACAGTATAAACAAGTTCTCAGCACAATGCAAAGCAATGCTACTTATTTTACATTCTTTAGTGTGCTGTTCCTCAATCTTACTTCACTTTCCCTTGTGTAACCTCAGATTCATATCTAATAACACAGTGAGCTCTCAGAAATCCCTCCCAAGTTTGCAGTACTTGAAGATTTGGTATAAGCAAACTTTGATAGTGTTTATACCTAAAATGACAATGTTGTATAAACAAACTAAGCATAAATCCTAACCCCACTGCTGTCCTAGCCCCTGCACAGATGAGGGCACCCCCTTAGACAGCACAGAACCTGCTGCAGCGAGACTTACCGGATGCCCTGATGCTGAGCACAGCTCTCCAATGGATCCTGGTACTGCTCTATACTGAGTTAAATCAGTAATTCTTTAATTTACAAAAGACAGGCTAGTTGGCATTCTTAAGTGCATTTATTAATTACAAGTAGGTCTTTACCTTTATATAAAAAGGAAATTTTTTTACCTTAAACATTTTGGTTTTTGTCAGATCAATCTACACTATAGAAAATGAATAGTATCAGTCCACTTGTAGTTATCAAAAGGGATGTGCAAATATTGTTATACTTAAGTTGAAACCCAACATTAAAAGGTACCTTAATATTTCTCATGGTTCCAGGAATAAATCAAAATGTACACTTTTCCATGATCACTATACACTACCCTGTTTTCCAAGGCAAGTCCATCATCTTTCCTCACATCTACATGGATCTCCACAGAGTTCCTTTAATCTCCAGAGCTCTCTCAGTTCCTGGGGAGAGTACTGGGGGGAAGACAGCATGCCACTCTCACATGTCTTCTCACACAACCAGAGACCATCCTGTTAGAGAGAGAACCATTTCAATAGTTTTTCTTACACAGAATTTAGTCCCCATCAATTTTCACTTTCAAGAATCGGGTGTTCACGGCTTCTAGCAACAAACATTGCACACAAAGGTCCCCAACTGATCTGCTCGACCTAATCAGAGAACCTGAGGGGTAGGGATAGGAGTCTGCAGGTGGTTTGTGGCGGTTCTGTGGTCTTTCTTTTGAATACATCTTCAAATTTTGATTTTTTTTTCCCCCTTGGATTTTAATTCAATGGTTGTTTCAATTTCTTTTTAAAGAAAAATCATTTCCCCTATTTTATGCTACTTGGAATAGGTGTTCTCTTCCTGTGGGATCAGACAATTCCTTCAGACTTACTTGATATCGCTTGGGTCCTACAGCTGCCATCCAGATGCCCATGCTCACATCTTCACCCTGAGATGACACATTAAAATAAAAAATACAGATATCAGCACCAGGAAAGCATAAAGCATGACTTGGTGACCTGGAATAAGTTGCATCATGTACCAGCAGTAAAGAATGGTAGCTACAAAAACCTATGTTTGACTGTTTTAGGGCTGTTAAATTAATCCTCCCAGCTTCCTTGTGTTAATACATTGTTCTTTGGAGGTCAGAGTACAAAAACAAAGATTACAGCTCCCAAAGTTCTCAGTCCAAAACATCTAACATCTGTGTTTTGACCTAGAACAGGCACTAAGTGTAGAGACCACAAAAATTCCAAAGCTAGCATTAGCCAGGAGAACCCAACACTAACACTGGAGCAATGTTCTTTCCAACTCAATTCAGTACATGCTGTGTCAAGACTAGTTTAAGATAGTCAACCTGAACCAACTCTTTATTACCTGGTACGTCTTTAACCTTTCAGAGTTGCTTGCCAGCCACTGAACAATGTCTTTGGAGATGACATAGCCGGACCCACAAGCAAAGGCTGGATATGCAGGACTTGGATACTCCAGCTCTTGCCATTTCCCAGTTCGGTCAACTGCCCAATTTAGTCTGAAACTGAAGACCATGTTAGAGATGATTATAGAGAGCCCTCTGTGGAACCTACAAACACTGCTAACAATTGGAGTAACACTGATAACAAACAATATTAAGAGGAAGAAGTAGAAGGTGATCCTAATTATAGTTCCTAGCCTCATTTCTCTAGGGCACACATCTAATTGAACACAAGTGCTAATATCATAACTATTGTCTGGTCTCAGTCTTGGGTAATGGGAGAAAGTTCTCAGAACAGAAACCAATATTGACAAAGTCAGTTCTTCAGCATGCTGCACCTTGCTGCTGGGTTTTGAACCAGGCAAGCACATGCATCCTTTCCTATGTTCTGTAACACATCCGGGTCCTGTTAATTAACCCCTCTGGTTAATCAGCATGACACAAAGTCAGTGCCTCCAGCAGGCATGGAGATGCAGTGATGTTACACAACCCGTTTTCCTGATAAAACTGGTGGCTGCTTAAAAACCAGGAAGCAATATATACCTTCTCTCAGCCATTTTCCAAATGAAACTCAACAAAGCAGATGTTCAAAGGCTGCCATCGCTGAATTACAAAAAAAAACATTCCTGCCAGTGGTGTTCTCTAAGGAAGACTTTATTCACCACCAGAGGCCTGCAGAAAGCCAGTAGTGCTCTGTCTGCAGTCTCTCCAGACAAACTCCCAGCCCCAGGCAGCGTGGCAGAGCTCGCTGACACAGCGTGTGGCCCTATGGACCCTGTCAAACTGCCATGTGAGGCAGGGAGAAGCACCCTGCTTTTTCTTTTTGGGAACAGGCTGTTTCTGCACTCCCCTGGCCTTACAAATACTTCATGCACTCACAGATAAGTGGCATAACTGTGTCAATGCAGCAGGTTCTCTTCTTTTTACAAACAAGTAAGTTTGTTTTTTGCTGAGTTCAGTCATGAGCTACTAAGAATTGTCACCTCAGACAACAGCCCTGAAAGGGAGAAATTGTAGCCGAGTAGCAGATCTCTTATCAGACTCTGCACATTCTCAGTGTAAACTGACATGTTAAAGCACCAAAGAGATAGAAGTCACATCCAATACCTGAATTCACTTTAGACTCAGTACTTTCCCCTCTACTGAATCACAGCAGGAAGGGTGCAACCCCCTCCAGACTGAGAAGCACCTGCTTTGTTAATCATTTTATACTTCCATAGTTATTTCAGCATCGTTCCCTACACCTCACACTTGCCTTAGCTGAAGAGTGTGACTATTAGAGAATTTACACTTGAAGATGTCACCTCTACAGATCTTTGAGATAACCATAAGAGAGCCAGCTATTTCACACACACTTGACCACACACCGTATTAAATCATTTATGAGTAAGCAACAGTCAGTACCAGATTTGTGAAGCAAAGCAGCAAAGGCCTGTTTTAGTTCAGTAAGCAGATGGCAACAGGAAGGGCCATTGTGCCATTATGCTATGCTGAATGTTATAGAAGTGTAGAGTTTCTGCTATATTGGATGCTATACCAGAGCTGCAATGCATTCCATGAATGGAAGGGATGATGTGGGCTATTTTGATCCTCCTAGTTATTCACAAGCATAATACAGGCTGGGAAAGTTCACTCAAAAATTCATTGATCAGATCTACCATTTCAAACAGCAGCAGAAATGGGTAGCCTGTCACTCACAGACGTCAAAGTAAGGTGCAGACCATAAAGGACGTTTTGTTTCTCCTGTTTGCCCCATCTCCTCAAGCCCACCAGAAAACCCACAAAAAGTAATGTTTACAGTTCTTTAGTATGTACTTGCCTTTTAACCTCACTGTGTTGCTGGAATACTTTTATTTACTTAAGTACATGACAAAGATGTCTATAAAATGTTTTGAAACTAGGTATGATACTCAGCAAGTTTAACTCATTGCAAAGGCACACTCTGGAAAGTTACTGTTTTCTGACTGGTTTCTGTCTTCTGAGATTCAAAGTTCTCACACATACAGAAGTCCTGCCTTTTATAACTGGCTCCCTTAGGCAGAGAAGGGGAACCCACATGAAATTAGACTTAAATCACTGAACTGTTCACTAAAGACATGATATCTCCTAAAGACAAGTTAGGAAAAAACTCACTTTCCCCACCAAATGTTTGGCCTGTCCAAATTTTTCTGCATTATCCTGTTAAAAACAGCCTCCAAATCAATGTAACAGTCGTCATCCGTCTTCAGCAACAAGTCAAAACTCGTTGATTCAACCGTCCTGCAGCCAAAAAGAAAAGTGATGAGATGCTGAGCCACACACCACAATCTACAGATACACAGTACAAGGCTCTGTAAATGTTTTTGGGAAGTAGAGGGAGAAGGAAGAGGGAAGGAATGTCTTTCCTACCCTTGACTTTTAAATGTTTTCTCTATCAACCAAGGCTGACTGCTTGTCCTACAGAAAGCAGATGCAGCTGCATCTGAGGACAATCTTACAACATGGCCTTGTGCATGACCTGAAAAAAACAAAGTTTTGTTCTCCAGGACAGATGGTGGATTTATTAATGAATCTGTCTTAAATCTGACTTCAGGAGGATATGAATCCTTGCTGATGATGGCAGCACAGCTGTTAAAAGCCACTGGCTGCACGTCAGTAGCTTCCTTTCAGGATGAGACAGTCAGTTCAACATAATGAGAAGGTTGTAGGTTTTAACAAACATCTGTGAAAGCAGCTCCGTACTTACTCTTTCTCAGTAAAAGTACCCTTCAAATATGAAAAATGTAATCTTTAACTGTCTGCAATAGTTGAATGTCTGACTCTCACAAAATATACCAGAAAAGATTCTAGGAATCATGGCTGAGTTGGTTACAAACACTGCTTTTAAGGGTAATTTCTCATAATAAGAAAGGCATTTTTTAAAGCTTTTCATTACTAAATCTTGAAGTATTGCTAATCTTTAAGAAATGATCATGAAGATCTAAGTCTTGACATTTAAACTTTTAGAACTGAAAGCATGGTTCAGTTTTTCAGTTACATTCATAACCGTGAAATTTGTTAAATAAGTGAATAATCTTGCAAGAAACTAAACTGAATCCTGGCTAAATTACAACTATATTTCTTACTGCACAGCAACATCAATTAATTTAAACAGTTGCCTCAGAGTAATGGAAATAATTGAAAATTAGAGGTAATCACTTATTAATCAATGTGTTACACTATGAAAATTCTTCCCATCAACCTTCTGTCCCCCCTGTACACAAGCTTCCCATCCTTCCCTGCAACTCAGCACTGGTGTGGCCACATCTAGACTGCAGTGTGCAGTCTCAGACTCCTCGGTACGAGAGGGGCACGGACATACTGGGTGCAGAGTCCAGCAAGGGCCATCAAGATGATTAAATGGCATCTTTCCAATGAGGAAAGGTGAGAGAGCTGAGACTGTTCAGCCTGAAGAAAAGAAGGCTTGGAGAGAGCTCATTAATGTATAAATATCTGAAAGGAGGGTGTAAAGAGCTGGAGCCAAGCTCTTCTCAGTGGTGTCCAGTGACAGGACAAGAGGCAATGGCCACTTACAGAAACACTGAGTTAAGTATTCAAACTGGCCAAAAGCCATCCTTTGAAAGACTAAAACTGCTAGTTTTCAGCTAGATACAAATTAAAAGAAATTACAAGGAGGCATGGCAATTTTCACACCTGGACTCTTAGGGCAGAAGCCTGTCTTGCCAGCTCATGCTTACTTGAGGCACCAGTGGTCAGCATTCTATATGCTATAGACTATAGGTGTTGTTATTTTACTCACTACATGCACCCAAAATTGCAAGAGAGAAATAGAAATACAACTTGATGAAGTAAATCACATAAGGCATGCATTTTATGGAACTTTTGCTGGATCACCTTGCACTACAGACAGCAACATTCTGAAGGGAAAACACTTTATTTTCAACTTACCATCTGTAGAAGTTCAGCAGTTTGGTGGGAACATTTCTGTAAGTGTCAATAACATCTACAAAAACAATATCATCATAGGTAATACTTTCTTCCTTCAATAAAGTATCTTCTTTTTCAAGGTTTTTTATGTGATTTGTAAACCTTTCCGGGCGAGTATGGAGGTTTTGTAAAAGAGCATCACCTTCTGAAAGAAAGAACACCCATCATTAAGCAAAGATGCATATTTACGTACTATTTCACATGTTTCTCTTAGATCATACATGATCTATTGACAAAATTAATCTGAAAAAGCATTCAAATTAATGGGGTTATGAAAATCCTGCAATTAGTTTTAAAATTTCTATGAAATGGTAAAAGTTGCAGAACAACAAAGAAATGTATTTTTGTATAAGGTCTTGCACAGAAAGTTTCAAGTAAAAAAAGTATTCTCTTCCTTTTCAGTAATAAAATCATTCAACTTTATTTAAAGTTCTTTATATTAAAGAGTGGTCAGGGATTTAACTATTACTTTTACCAGTAGAGTAAAAAGGCTACTGTTATACACTTACTTGTATTATACAGTATTATAATGTTAATTATATACTTAATTACTCCTAAGTGTATGTTTCTAGCATTAAAAAACCCCAAAACAACAAACCAACCAACCAATCAAAAATCCTATGCTAAATATAATCAAATAGGCATCGCTTTGATGTAGCACAGATGGTCCCTGCTGAACCAAATCTCATAACTGTTTGCAGGTTAAAGCTAGAAAAATATTGCAGGTAAGGAGATAGTCTGTGGTACTGAAGAACTGTTTGACAAACAAGATGGAAGGCCTTTAGCACACACCTCAATTTAGGCTCCTACAGAGATGACAGGACGACAGGACTGCCCAATTATATCTGTGAGGCCTAGCTATAAAAACACAGGAATAGCACTCTGAAAGTCACTACTGATGTTGGGTATGATGGACCGGCAAGAACACATCAGTGCAAGTGCTAGACCTTAGACATGAGGCAGGGTTCCTATAGAGTCTCTGGGCATTCTGCTGAAATAGGTGTAAAACAGCAACAAGGGATGGAAAAGCTGGCTTTGCTGGGTAGTCATTGTTTGTCAATATGAAACATCATGATACAGTATCTCTAACAGCAGCAGCACTTGAAAAAAATGCGCAAAATATCAGGGAAGGATTTCATTGCACAACATTTTTTAACCTAATTTTGGATAACAAAAAAAGAAGTCTAGATAAAAAGACAAAGGGATGCAAGTCAAATGGAGTCGCTGACAAAAGGCAAGCAAAGAAACCACATCAGGACATTGACCTTAAGCATAAAAAAACCCATAAAGAAATTAATTGTACTTACTAAAAGAAAACCTAGGGTGACTAAGTTCACAGAGACAGCACAAACTATATCTTAGAAATGTAATTTAAATTAACTGTTCTATCATAACATCAAATGTGATGCTACATTTTGCAGACTTACCTTGAATAGTGTAGATAAAACCACCTGCTATTCCCTCTACACCTTCTGTGAGTTCATGTGGCAGTGACCCTTCCCCTGCCTGCCAGGAACAGATTAATGGAAAGAAATAGATTAGTTCATCTCTCATTACTGATGTGTTTTTCCCTATGTTTTTAAGGTGTGAAGTTTTCTGACAACTGAGAATGAAATTAACTGAAAGCTCTTCTGGTTTAGGTGCCTGCACAATCATAAAATCATAGAATATCCTGAGTTGGAAGGGACCTCAAGGATCACCAAAGTCCAGTTCCTGGCCCTGCACAGGACCACTCCAAGAATCACACCATGTGCCATGAAAGACTAAGATTAAGATTTTTAACTGTATGGTTTTATGGCATTTTTTTGTTTTACCTAAAACGAGTGGAACCTGAAACTTCCAGAAGACTAGTTTTGAAGTTGACAGCAAAATGTAAAGTTATTCTGGCTAAATTACAATGGCACAGCATGTTTAGGCAAGCAACATTGACAGGAAAAGAAACACACTCCCAAAAAAAAGCCAACTAGACTTAATTCCATCAATTGGGATTTTATCACAAGATTTTTGACCTACATTTTGTCATCTCTGATACTGCTTCACACCCAAGAAAGACAATAAGGTGAGATTTACTCCCACCAAAATAAAAGAAAATGCCACTTACAAGCATAATTTTTTGCTAGAAGGTAAACTTCCCCTCTGAGACAACAGGAAAACTACTGAATTAATGATTTACACAAAGAAACATAGAAAAGTAAAATGCTAAATACTCAAGGCTTATAGGAAAAACAGAAACGTGGTGGAAAGGGAAGGTGAAGGGACTCACTGTAATGACTCTGAAAACACCTCCTCCATCGTTCACCATCACTTTATGAAGGTTTCTTGAAACCAGGCCTTGAAGATCCTGGCTCTCCCACACAATGGTACCTTCAAAACTCTGGTAAAAGAGCAAAACACCATTTTGCAGGTATTCAAAGACTTCAAAGAATGAAAATCAAACAGTTTGGGTCTTTTTTATTTTAAAATAGTCAACTTCACAGAAGATTAGCTTGAATGCATGACATCAATGTTTTACTTACACTTCAATAAGAAAAAAGTTACTCATAAAAGAAATACACCTGTGAAACTCAGTAACACAATGTTCTGAAGACTAATCACGAATCTCTGTATCATGAACATTACACTTTTAACAGAAGTCTAGTGTAAAAAGCTTTGGCTTTCTAAAATCATCAAAATTGCATTTAAAAGTGACCTAATGAATTTTTAAAAATCAAATATAAAATCCTGCATTACAAAGAGAATACGTTAAAGCAGATTTGGAAGTCAGTGCAGCTTTTTAGTTATCTGCCAAGCAGAGATCAGAGACTCGATCCTGACACCAGCAAAACTCAAAGGAAAATACAGCCACCTTTATCCTAGTAAAGGTGTCACAAGCTACTGTAGGAGAGTCACAGAATTCTGACCTCACATCTTGGCTAACAAGGAAGAAAAAGACAAGTGAATATCTTTAAAATTTTCTAGTTTTAATTGTCAAATTTAACTATGTCACTCCATGGTTTATATATATATATGTGTGTGTGTAAATTCTTGCATTTAAGTGGGCTGCATTTCATCTTTAAACTGAAGACCCCTGAGAACATGCAAAAGAACAGGTGGTATGTTGAACAAGTAGGAGTACTGGTAGCATTATACTTTTTTATATTTTTAAACAAATTTCACCCTTATGACAAAGGAGTAAAGAGTAGTTGTAGGGTTATTATACTCCTGTTTGCCAGATGAGGACATTCCGTTTCATCTCTCACAGTTTCATAGGCAATACACTGATAGTTATTATGGGCCTTGAAAGAGAGAAAAAACTTGTTCGTAGATGCATCTCTGTTGCTGTAGGAAGTCTGTTTACCTGTACTAACCTCTCATCTCTTCCCATTTTGGCTTCCTTGTACACTAGAAAGCTTCTCCAGAAATCCTCCAATTATTGACACACTGCTAAGGTCTAGGTTAGAGTTCAGCTTAATTCTTTGCTTTCCTCTAGAAGTAGGTCTTAACGTCTGTGGCAGTCTCAGTATTTAATGACAGCTGTGTATTTCAGAAGTCTCTCATCTATTTTTTATAATGCCAGCTTTATAATCTAATAATAGAGCTAGCCAGTGTTTATCAAGCCTGACTTGCATGCTCAATACCTTCCCCTTGTTTGTTTAATTATCTCTCAGTTATCAAAACAAATGGACCATTATTAAAGACTTTTTTTTAGCGGCAGGACCTCTGAACACCCTGCACAGTAAAACCTACATGCTCGATTTCTCTGTTTGCAGTGACTGTCATTTCCCATTCCCATGTTTTTAGCTGCAGGGACTGGGCTCTAATCACTCTTCAGTGCCTTGTTTACAGACACAACCTTTGGTAAGTTGTTAGTGAACAGGAAAGTCCTTTCACGCCTCAGCAACCAGAAACATTAAAATTCTCAGCACTGACTCTTCCTGATACTGACTTCAAATATGTACCAAGAGTCTTACTCAGTTATTACCAGTGAACCTCAGTGCAAGGTGTCCTAAAGCTGCAAACTATCATTATTCTCCAGGTTGAGAGACTTGTAAGCAAATGTTCTAATTACTTTAGCCTTCAGCTATTCTTACTCTAAGCCGATTAATGAAAGCTGAGGCCTGAAAATGCTTAAAGCAAAACATTAGTGGCACACCTGAGACTACATTATCTGTTTTTCCCCATTTAAATTCCAGCCTTGTTGCTGCCAGAGTGCAGTGGCATTTGCAGTGAATACCGAACAGCTGTACTCACATAATGCAGCCCTGCCAAACTCCTTTCCTAATGTTAAACAGTGCTATGGTTTTTGTTCGTCTAACTACTCCCCATTAGTAACACAGAGTATGCCTCGTACAGAGTCGCATTTTCATGCAAGCGGCCTGTGGCTTTTTGACATTGCTAAGACTTGGCTGTAAGAGCCGCTGTGTGAGTTTTAGTTATCTGCTAGTGGTTCTGCTCTTCTGTGCTTTCAGTCATTCCAAAGCTGAATGATCGATTCTGTCTTTCACAATCTGGCCTGCCAGATGCTTATTCGAATGCTGCATTTCCCTTCCTTTCCCCAAGACGAGCAGAAAGAGCAGCACTTCAGCTGGAAGATGAATGAAGCTCTTCAGCAGTCTGTACAATCCATTACTTCTTCAAGGTGGAAAGGCAGAGAATGGATACTGCCTCAGAAACCATCTTATGACAATCAAACAGCTTACTAAATTTACTGCTCACAAGTAGACAGGGACACGTGGGCATTCCCATCTCCTCTGAATCACCGTGTATGGTTCAGCATCCTGAGTATCACAGGAGACTACACGCTGTGCATAAGCCCCATTAATCTACATTACAAACATCATGTTATCCTGTAAGCATTCAGCGCGTGACACATATCAGATTAAGGAAGCCCACACAAAGAAATATATGAATACTAATATCCTCTCTCCAAAGGAAACACTTCCCATCTGTCTCTCAGGAAAAATGCAATCATTTACAGCAAAATTACAACTGCCTAGAATTTTAGTATCTCAGAACGAAGTCTTACAGGGAAAAGGCTCACATGATATACTACCAAATTACCGGGTAACTAATACACTTTTTAAAAAAGTAAAATAAACCCTTAACCATTTCAGTATGAAATTAGATTGTCAAAACATATACACAAAGTACTGCAAGTCATCTCACCTGAAAGGTCTCCTGCCAGCATAAAAACTTGCATAGTATTTAGTTAACACTGCCTAAGATGACAAGCCAATCAATCAGCTGCAGATTCCCCTTAAAATGAACAGGCTTCCAAATGCATTCATTCTTGTGGAGCCAGGGGAATAAATCAGGGAATAAACTGGTCCAAATTGTCAGTCAGTTTTATCAGTCAGTCTGTCCAGATGACTTAAAAGAACTGCAGGCAATTCTGATACTGCACATACCTCTGGCAAAATAAACTGCTCTACCGGCTTGTACCACAGTCGGTTCACTTGCACTCCACAGCTTGGTGGACTAAAGCGAGCACTGAAGATCGCTTCCTGTGAACAACAGAAAAAAAAAACAAAATACCCCCCAAACACCCATTAAAAGTGTTACTATATTACACAGGCCATCAAATGGCTCTTAGGTAATAACAAATTACATAAAGATGCTCCATTGCCAAATTCCCAATCTTCAGAAAACAGTCTTCGAGCTCTCTTATGTTACTAATTTTTCTCCTTTACTGGAAGTAAAAAGTTAATGCAGATAAAATTATTAGACTTTGAACATTTAGAATTCTACCATTTAGCAAGCATAAACCAGATTACAGTGTAATTTTATTTTTATTATGGCTATTACAAACGAAATTCTTCGAAAGTTCATCATAAAAGTCATACTTAAAATTCTTCCTACTGTAGTACAGCCAGAAGTCTTGAAATTCACCTATTAACTTATTGGTAGAGATAAATGCAATATATCAAATGCAACAATCATACTTAATGATTTTTTTTACCTCCAGGTTAGCACTAAGCTATTCTATCAAACCCATAACAGCTTGGGTGTAGGGAAAATGATCAGTGAAGCTTGATTATTACCTGTAAATAATATCAGTTTCTAGAGATCTTAAAGTGTCTTGCCAGAAGACAGGCAAGAAAAAATTACAGCTGTCCTGCATCTCTCTGCTTGAAGGCACCAAATGTATATTTCTGTACATGTATTTTAAATATACTCAACAGTTTATTTTTTATTCCTTAATATATATCAATACTTTAGAACCTCAAATACAAGCAAAAAATTGTGCACTGGAAAGAGATATAAGTGCTCTTTCATAAGAGCATTTAGATTAACTCATAGCCCTTTTTGAATTCCATCTTTTCCTCATCCAGGATGTGTCTCTGCATATGTGTATATATATACACATATATATGAATGAAATAAGAATTTACAATGCAACAGAACAAAAATGTGGTTTATATGCTTGTCAGTTAAGTACTTCTCTTCTAAATCACCAAACCAGCATGTCACTTTCTGTAAAAACTAAATCCACAATAAAGAGACAACATGCTTTAATCCACTTTCAAAAGATTACTACAATACTCTACCTCATGTTCCGCCTGGTACAGTTTTACAGTGATGTTCCTCTGGAATCCCACCCCATCAGCCTCATAAAATACCCCAAGACTGGTAATGACAATGGGGTAAAGTACACGAAAATTCACACTGACAATTCTGTCTTCAGAAAGCACAGAAGGTACATCCTCAGGGAGACTGAATGCTTCGATTTCCTGATTCAAAACTGTGTGTGAAAAATGAAGGACAGAGATAAGATGAGAAGACTTCTTAGTTTCTGAACTGGATACACACAAAGCACAGTGGATATATGTAAAGCATTCTGATTAATTAGCACAGCTCACAAGTGCACAGTGTCAGTCAAACACTGGAGTAAAAGAAAACACAACAGGCTGCGGACTGCAGCAAGGAGAAATTAAGTGATACAGCAATCTGCAGGCTAATAGCAATTGCGACTCAATGCCTACATATCCACAGGGAAAAGATTAGAAACACAATAAATCCACTGAGTGAGGGCAAAAAATGCTATTTGACTGCATGAATACCTGTATATTAGCATATTAAAATAATTATTCATGCCTTCAAAACAGCATACACCTCCACTTCATTCAGCTACTTGCCTTTTGGCATTATTGCCTCCCTACGCCCTGAGGTATTATTTACACTTGGGAGCAGTGGATGTTACCAAAGAGAAAGCAACAGAAGTTGCATTTTGTGTTCAGTCACTGCTGAAGTGCCAAGCAGTCCTTAGTTAACTTGTAATTAAAGAGTAAAAATTAAATCGAAAATAAAAGGTGACAGGAAGAATTTACAATTTTAGTTAGGAATTCTGTTATGGCAGCATTTAATCTTTTTCCCCATAGTACAGTTCTTAGTTTTTCTCTCTCTAAAGTGGCATCTGAAAAACCTATTATCCAGACTTGCTTGGAATTCACGTTGCCATCACAGAAGTCCATCTGACACTCAAGACTCAGTCACCTTGCTACTTTCTTCACATTTGACACTACACTGGGTCATTCTGGCTCTCTCCAACTTCACTGACATACGGATCAAGTACAAATGTATGTTACACGGGAGAGACTGTCCCCTGACACAAGGAAAATGCAATGACCACCCCCGCACATATCCCATAATCTCTCCCTTTCCTGCGTGCACATGGTACTTACAGGAAGGTTATGCAACTGTTAAGACAGCAAGTTCTAGGCAGCATTTGTTTTTGTGGCTGGCTAAGCTTAACTCCCCAAACTACTCTCAGAGTTCAGATCACAGAATTTTTAAAAGTTAACTTCTATACCTGGGTTACTGATGTTCAGAAGTTTGCAGGAGTAGGGGTCTTCTCTGTCCTTCACTGGCACAGCACAACCATGCGCACCTATTATAAACTTCACAAGGACACTAAAATAATTTGGTTTTATTAACACCAGTTCTCTTCCCTCCTCCCTCCATCTTCAATCACCTTATTTTATCACAACAACCTGTCTTTCACAAGGTTAAGGCTTTGCTTAAAAATCAGCAATGACAGTCTGTATGTGGAGTAATCACGTGAATCCTCTCATAGGAGCTCAATTCCAAACCCACATCAACATTTACATCTCATTATGAGGATGCAGGAAGATTGGCAGCTAGGAATGAGATTCAAGGCAGCCAGCACACTAAACAGAAAAAGTACCTAAGGTAACACTGAAGGATCTTGAAGACCTGACTTTCCCAGCCTGGCTTTGTTACTTAATTCAAGATTGTTTAAATACTCTACGTTCAAAAGGCAGTGAAAAAAATAAGAAAAAAAAGACGTAGCATAAAAGGAAGAACAAAGATTCTAGACTATCTGTTACAAAGAAATGTTTCAACTTGGGGTTGTGGCAAAACAAGAGGTTCCTCTTTCCAGCCCCAATCGTGGTTGTTCCACAGTCAGCAGACAAGCAGTACAAAGAGCAAGAGAACTTCACCTAGCAGCTAAATGCCCTCCCAGAACTCCATATAAGCTACGAAAGATCACATTTTTAGATGACTGAAGTAGCTATGCTTCACTCCAGGCTGCACGCTGACACCAAATCTGTGAACAGTGAAGCGTTTTCGGTGCGAGGTGTGAGCCTATGAGGATGGACATGTTTCCAGGAATGAACTGCAGCAGAACTTCTCAGCAAAACCAGACCTGTCTGTAGACTGACAGATCTGTGCAAGCAATCAGGAAGGGTCACTCATACTGCAGCAGTTTGGTGCACCTGGTTCAGTGGGACATGAACCTGAACTTTACAGTTTTTGTGTTTCTCTCACCAAATGCGATCCTGCCCACTTTCAAGTGTCCTGGACTACTAAGCATTTCAAGTTGCGTACCATACAAAGCATACATTGCAACACAAAGAAGAGAAAGGCTTATATTATGCATCATTAATGAACAGTGGTGACTAATTGCAAAAACTAACAGCAGTGTAAATAAAATAGTTACAGCCCAAGACAAGAAGTATTCTTATATATTGCTAAACAGATTAAAAAAAAAAAATCTATCAGATGCTCAAAAATATAGGGGAAAACAAAAAGGAAATACTTAAAAAAAAATTATAAATCAAGATATTTCAGCATTACAGTCCTCACCCCCTTGCCCCCACTCCCAAATTACAAAACACTAGAGATTACCGTTGGCTCAGTGCAGGATGTTGTTTCAGGTGCCTGAACCAAGTGTTCCTTATAACACTGCGTAGTTCATGATTGTGTCGAGCGGACAAAACACCTACAATAACATCATAATGTTTCAGCTTCCACTGAGGAAATAAGGACAGTGGACCTAGAAATAGAAAGCGACAAAGATTTATTATGTGCACGTATTACCACAATCCGGAGTTGTAAGCAAGAATTAAAATTCCAGCCTTCCACTACTTAAAGGGGACTCACAAAAAGGAGGGAGAAACTTTTTGCATGAGCATATAGTAATAGGATGAGGGGGAATGGTTTTAACTAAAACAGGGAAGATTTACATTAGATGTTAGGAAGAAATTCTTTGCTCAGAGGGTGGTGAGACATTGGCACAATTTGGCCAGAGAGGCTGTGGCTTCCCCATCCCTGAAAGTGTTCAAGGCCAGGTTAAACAGGGCTTTGAGTAACCTGGTCTAGTGGAAGGTGTCCCTGCCCATGGCAGGAGATTTGGAACTAGATGATCCTTATAGTCCCTTCCAACCCAAATCATTCTGTAACTGCGTGATTCTGTGATTCAAATGCATCTCAAAAGTAAGAGAACTGAAATGTTAAAAACAAGCAACAGAATTACTATTGCATTCTTAATTCAGAATCAGGGAAATGTTTTCAACATGCCAAAACCTTCAACAACGTATCTATTTTCCCCTTTTTTTTAAAAGCTGCTGGACCACCTTTCTGCCTTAACATTCCAATGTGGTACATCAAGGCCTATCTTTTCTAACCTTTTGAAGATGAACACTACTCTGCCTTTGCACAGGGTGTTACAGTCCTTCACAGGGGAGTGCTCTGGCTTTGTTCAAAGCTGGATGTCACCACCAATACTTGTAATCCAGGATTTAGCTTGTGCTGTTTTAATTTAGAGATCATGAAACATGGACTTGATTTCAAGCTGGATTATGACCAGATAAAGACCTGAGAAGCTCTGATTTAGAGTCTTCAAACAGTCAGGCAAGTAGCTAAAGCAAATTTGCTTAGTTTAATCTATCAGACGTTCTAGAGTTAAGACAGATTTGTATTTAGTTTTAGCAATGGATTGCTTCCCTCTCATCTCACTATTTTTTTCATTAGGCTGCAGATAAAGAAAGCAATTGTGAGTGCCCTCTAAACTACTGTATACTATTGTACAGACAAGATTCTTTACAATCTAATTTTTAAGAGACCAAAAATATGGCCAAATCTGTATTGTATACTCTCACTAGAAAGAGAATTCCTCTTATTATAATAATATTATCATTATATTATTATCTAGATCCTACCTCCTGTAAGAGCATACTTTTTCTCCACGTTGAAGCTGACATGATTTTTCTAAACTGCTCACTAACCTAGGACCTCACAGCCCCTGCTACAAGAACTGCTGTTCCAAATCACACTAGACATCCATCTAAGCCTTATATCCCACCATCAGAGTGCAGCATGCAGTGGAGAGGACCTGGCCTTGGCCTTGCTCTGCTCTGTGCTCCATCAGCATCAAGAGATTTCAGAACTTTTTTGCTTTAGGGCTATTTAGCTGTGACTCCCTAGTCCCAAAGCCAAATAAAACTCCTCTGCAATTGATTCTCAAAACAATGCAAGAGCAGAAAAAGTACAGCTATGTTTCCATAGGTAGACCTTTCCCAGTCTATTTCTCACTAATGTAAGCATGCAAACAATGGTTTTCTAGAAGATTAAGTTCCACAGTTATTTAAATGAATCTGTACTGAAATGTCTTCACAGCTCATTATATAACTAAGAATCATCAGCTCTCCAAGAGAGCAGATATATACAAGACAGACTCGTGTTTATAAGACTACAACATTATAGCAAATTCCTGTGTGGTCACATAATTGCTTTTCACACATGCCTGTTTTTTATCCTCTTCTTCTTTCATCCTTTGATTATTCTTCAGCCTCAAATGCAGGCCTTCCAATACAAAGCTCATAGGACTAATGTGCATGTAGATCATACATAAGATATTGTTTGCACTGATTTGTTTTTTAAGATATCACGTTTAATTAGAAGTAGAACCATTTCATTAAATCAAAATTAAAGAAAAATAAAACTAAGCATAAGTCTATGGGGTGACTTGACTCAGAATAGCATAAGTTGGCTTGAATCAATTAAAGAAAATCTAAAAATAAGCTACTCAAATCAAATATACATATTTTTAACTAGTTTATATTTCAAAATGAGTGAAGCTTCTCTTTATGAACCATTCACATGGGAACAATGTTCATGTAACAGATGCTTCAGAATTAATATCCTAGTGCTTTAAGAACAGTGGTCTATATTCACAAGATTGTCTTCTCTGTCCCAAGGGTTATGTCATTTTACTTTTAAAACTATTGAAAATGGGAAAAAAAATAATGGTTAATTTCACAGAAATCTAATTAATCAGGTTTCTGCTTGTTAGCAAGTGTTTCTAATTCCTATGGTAAAGTAGGAATAACACTATAAACTTTCAGGAAAATAGATTCATGTGTCCCTCTGAACTAGCACTATTAGAAAAAAAAAAAGGGAGATAAAGAGAGAGGTACAGGGAAAAAATACTAAGGTTATTATTCATTTATAAGGATAATTCAGGCACTTGCATAAATATTCCATGATGCAGCATGATTTAAAAGAAAACACTGCTGACCTCAAAGTCAATAATGACAATTTAGACAATCAATCACTACTTGCCACTGGGGACCAAACCTACTTATCTTAGATTCTATTTTTGTGCACTCTTAGGCCAAAATTTTAAAAGTTGGTAATAGGCTTAAAAAATACATACCATATTGCTTTTACCTTGAACTAGCTGTGCAAGACAATTAAGATCTTAAATTTTCTGATTTCAAAGGCAAAAAAAAGTGTACATTTTGTGGTTTGTGTAGAGGGTGAAAAAAAAAAAAAAGCAAGCTACACATCACATTCCACAATAAACCCTAAAAGTGTTGCGAACCGAAGGGAAACGAAAGGAGAAACCTTTCCAATTCAAAGGTCACAGTACCACTAGCTGCCTTGCTTTTGAATTTTTACTGACTTAAAACTGCATCTCTATTGCATTACTTAGCCCAAGACTGCTCAGTGGAACATGAGAAAAATACACAGTGTCTATCCTACACTCTTTTAGCATTGGGGAAAAAATTGATTTCACTTTGCTGTTTTGCTTGAGGCTGTTAATCCATAGCAAAAGCCACAAAAACATGAAAGGAAGTGGCCCTCTCTCAGCTGCTGAGATCCATTTAATGCTGTACAGCAACTGCAAGGAGTACTTCCGTCAGCCTTAAGACTACTGAAGTCCAGTTTGCCAGAGCCTCATGTCACAATGTTAATAACCTCCTACTGGAGCTTTCTTGGGCTGTGATATTTGTAAGGCTCCTACACAATTCTCTGACATGTGACCATGCATGTACTTTTATTAGTACAGGTTTTCACCTCAGTAGGAGCTTCAGTAAGCTTTCACAAGATTCTCAGTCACCAATTCTCATGAAAGTTGGTGAAAATGCTGGTCTTTGGAACCTCCACCTGTCTGTCAAGCTTGACTGAGAACAGATCAAAGTTTGAGAGAGATGAAGGAAAAAGTAAACAAGCACCTATGTAAAGCACAAAGTTCTGCCTTTAAAAGACAAGGGAAAAGATGCAGAGGTGTATCTCCTGCTGAGTTCTCCACTGCAAGCGGTCACTGCTGACATGCAGTCTGCTGACCCTACTCAAATTTTAACCACCTCAGCAGCAGTCAACATCTCTTGAGATTTTTCAAAATCCCAAACTACAATGAGGAACGTGCATCTCTTCTTCCCGTGAGACTGATTCTCAAGTAAAATGTCAAGTTAAGCTGTAAATTATGTTTACTTCATTACGAGAAGATGAAAAGAGTGAGAGATCATTTAGTTTGATTTTGTCAACAAACACGGTCTTGCTGCACATCTCTCTATTGATGAGTCCCCTACCAACTACTAAATTTGCCAGTCATTTTTTATTAAGTTTCACATAATACGCAGCCCACAAAGTGATTAAGTGTCCACATTTCATGCAACTGGACTGGAGAGACAAAAGACTCGTTAGTGCCTGCGCTGAGAAACACAGGAGTGTAGGCTGCACTATCAGGCACCACAGCACCTCCATTGGAAACTGCTAAAATAAGTGAGGTCCACAGAAGGCTGGGCTTTGTATCGTCTGCTTCCCATGCAGCCTTTTGTGTGTGTGTGTGTATGAGTGAATAAATCAATGAATGGAACTAAGTAGGCCAGGCAGAAGTTGTTTAGAATATTCTCAACTAATCCACTTCATAAGGTAAGATTAAAAAGGAAAACTACCTCTTCAAAATAAAAAAGCCCATACATTTCAGGGTTTTATCTCTGCCTATCCCTGAGACTTTGCAACCATAGTCCTGGGTTTTAATGCCTTTTTCTTCTCTGCTGCTTTGTGAAAGATCCAAAGAAAGAAAGGAATTAACCGAATATAAAGATTTGTATTCACAGAATGCTGACACACACAGAAAAAGAGCAAACCAAACAGCAAAAGCAGCTCTTTCGCCTTACTAATCTACTTCACTTACAGTAATTTGCTATAGCTCATCTGCATTACATGTTTTGCTGCAAGCCGCGCAATATGACTCCCCTGCAGTACCTACTTTATACCAGAGCTAAAAATCGCCAAGATGTGCACTGCACCCCTAGTTTCTGCAGGAGCACAGTACTCCTTGAGGCAGACAAGCTTTTAAACAAGCTTTGCAGATTCAAAGAAGAAAACCTCTGCAGGCAGAGGTTTCTGTTTTGTTTGTTTGTTTTACATCAACAGCATTCCCTTAAAGAAATAGGACAGCAGGGTCCTTCTGAATTGCTAAGTGACTGTAGTGATATTGCTGTACCCTGCCCTCCATTAATGATACAGAACGTGCACATTTCTAGACAAAACTGGGAACAATGGCCAAAGCATCAGAGGCAGAGACACAAAAGGAGCAAAGCAAACCCTTTTTGCAACACTGAACCTGATGCCCTCTTTTTTGTGTGTGAAAATGAGGGATGTGGTTGTGGTGGGGCAGGGGAAGCAGAGCACAGCACCTTCATCTGTTGAAAATTGGTTACCAGTCCCTGATGCCATGGAAGAAAAGCCTGATGCCAGGGAAGG